CACTTGTTTGGAAGCATTCAATTTTTGTGACGCAGTGAAGAGAACGCTCTACTCACTGAATAATATTTGTACTAGTCCTCGAGACTAGCAAACGACCACGAACATCACATATTTATCGAACAGGAACAAGCACAAGCACAAACCCGTGTCATTTCCTGCTTGTAGCCTAGCTTCTCCAGACTATCCTGGGCGACAGCGTCCACATTGACTTCATCTTTGAAGTTCATTTTGACGGCACAATGGGAGAAAGAGGCAGCAGCAGAACCATAACCGAAGGAGAGATTCATGTACCAGGTGCAACGTGGCACCTGGGCTTTTGGACGGGGAACTGTTTATCATATTCATGCACTCCACGGGTGCCTCCGCCGTGGGACGCCCGTTGAGAAGTGGTACAACCTATTCAATAGAAATACGTCAATATATCGTAGCAAGTGCGACAGAAGACGATTCATGTTCCCACACCACTTGCGAATGGCGGAAGTATATGGGTTATTTGGGTTTATCACACCGCAGACATGCAAACGTGCACCGAGAAAACGAATGATAGTGAGGAGGAAATGGTAGGACGCCTATTGGGGATCTGCAAACATATAGCCACTTGGGAAGCTCGAGCCTCGTTCGTGGTTATCAAAAGCAGGTGGTATACTCAACTGCGCCAGCGCCCGACATTCGAAACTGAGCGGTGTTACCCGTACGGGGTCCAGAGATGTGACGGTGTCTCTTGGATCCGAGACCTGAGGGTCTCGTTCTACGGAGTACGATACAGAATTTTGAATTTTGCCATGATTGACACAGACTTTTCCGTTATTTGGCCACTGTAGATATATATCACAAGGGTGCGAAAGTCACAGTGGGCTCAATGCATTGGATAGTCGTTAGATACATCAACGTGTGTCAGCCAACAAACGTTAAACCCCGCAATCCAACGTGCTGAACTCACCCCCATTTGAAGACCAAACTCTGATTATAGCCGAACTACATTATTATTCTCTTGAACCTGACTCATATTGCCGAAATGTGCCACGAAGAATATTGCCTTTAGGATCTGCTAGAGTTATCAGTGCAACGTCATAAGACCACGATGGCGTACCGTAATAGGCGTACATGCGGCTGAGTGTTGTTTCTAACCCCATTAATTGTATCTTCAGAGCATTCAGGTCCCAGGATTCGAAAAAGCCGCGAGACGGTGACAGTGAGAGTAGGAAGATGCGGGAAGGTAGCCTTAATCGTAATATGTACAGTCGAAAATTTGAAGTGGATTTGTAGTCAAAGCCGGGTTTGCCAAATTCGGACTTGGTGCATCATGACAGTACTCAAGTACGTACTCACATGCACACTTAGCGTCCAAATATTTATCGATCGAACAGATCAACCATGCAAATGACGTTCTGAGTCTTCAGAAAATAGCTCAGCTCCAGGAGACATAGCAGAAGACTAACTTACAGCACTGACAGTGATCTATCTGCTTGAAAAAGTGCCACGTACGCGTAAGTTCCAAAGCGAGCTCGAGGCCATTCAAAAATTCAACTTTGGTATGACGCATACAATAATAAGACTTGCTTGATAAGGAAACGAACACTAGCGTGGCACTTCAGATGTTCAGACATGTCACGATTCAAATATTCAACGACCATTACAGGTACTCCAGCTCAACAAAGAGCAGAACTTCATGTCTGCACAGTACCACGAAAGATGCCCTCACCATCACTGCTAACACCATCTCCTACACCTTGTCTGACCAGAAGAACGACAGCTTGAGGACTCACACGACCATCCTCATCGTGTCAAATTCTGTGATCCATTGCCACTACTGCCAGCCCTGCGATGGTATTTCACCTACCGAGACACCGCGTTTGTCTTCCGTCCCGCTCTGTGGTTGACGAATGCCAAATTCATACGTTCCTCCGACGGTTACGTGTCAATGAACACCGCTGAACGGGAATGTCAGGTTATTCTGTGAGAGCTGGAGGCGCCATAGCACTCGCTGTTACGGGAATGACACCAGATCTCATTCAGGTAGCAGGTCAGTGGTCTTTCGATGAACTCACAAAGTATATGCACCAACATGCGTTCTTACTAAACGCTCTACTGCATGGCTCAGCTCGCGCGCCTTCAAACACGGACACGACATGATAACTGACTCGATCTCCGCTCACAGGACTCACTATTCTCTGAACGACTTGCCCTACTTTATTCGCATTGTTGACTTTTGCTCACCACCGTGAGATCTCGGCGTAAAATTGATTCCATTGCTTCATGCGAGACCGATACCGACGACTGCCGTTTACCGCCGACGTCCTAATTTGAGCTACCTTCGCGTGGTCGATGGTGATATCTCCCGCATGGTCACCTTCATTTCAGGCTTCAGCGCTATCCTAGCAACGCACACGGGTTACTGAGACCATATACACGGATTCGAGCGGGACGACATATACTACATCACCCAAGGCTGGGGGTCCTTCCAGCACTTTGACTTCATTAATGTCCTGAACTTTTTCAGGCTTCTTTGACTCTTCGAGAGGTGCAAAATTCAACAGCAATGATGTCGTCAGACGAGACCAACAAGAAGGTGATCTGCATCACGAGGCTCGGTCGAGAGCGGAGGTACCCGTGCGAAAGATGCTTCAAGATCCTGTGTAGTCTCGACAGCGATGTTGGCTTCTTCACGAGTGTACACGTGAGCATGTCGACTGACGAGTGCTGCGGCTTTTATGGCGCTGTGGTGTGGAAGGTTTGCACGAATTTTGCCCACTTGTCTCAACTGAGAGACTACACCGTTGCGTGGATTGTGTCAGACCACTAGATGTAAAATGTTATGTTGGATAACTCCCTCAGGACCGTCATCTGAATCGTTATGAAAGAGACGTCGGCACTCTCCGCATCATAGCCATCACTGAATGCCCAACCCAAAGAACTTGAAGATAGTGTCGAAGGTTTGCACGAATTCTTTCGAGTGCTCAACTCAGAGATTACATCATCGCGCGGCTTGTGTTGACTGCTTCGCAAAACTGCAGAGTTTTGCTAACAACACTAGATATACGGTGTCACATATGTTGGATACCTTTATCACAGGAAATAGCCATCATCTGAATCGTGGTCTGTTGTTATGAAAGAAACGTCAGCACTCTCTGCATCATAGTCGTTGCTATGCCCAACCTTGAAGACAACACCAGGGAAGGCATTTCCACTGCTACGCAAGTCGAGTTGACGTATCGCAAGACAGGTCCCTTGATTTGGTTGTAGCACCTTGTAGGGTTGGTGGAAAACAAAACTGGTTTTTTGGACTGTGCAGTGCGTCAACTGTATGAAGTTTGCAAAATAACTTGAAGATAACACCAGGGAAGGCTTTCCCACTGCTGCGCAAGTCGAGTTGACGTATCGCGAGATAGGTCCCTTGATTTTGTCGTAGCACCCTGTAGGGTTGGTGGAAACCTAGTCTGTGTGACTGCGGTGCGCCGACGCCATGCTACGCAAATGAACATGTTAAGGTTCGCAAGCTGAGTTCAATATGTTCCAGAGCGGACTCAGCAACACTTCTGGATTTCAGTGGCTCCATGATGATGAGAGAACTGCGATAGGGAAACACCACAGACATCAGATCGTTGCAGATTCATTAGTAACTTGTCATTCAAGGAGAATATCCCCCGAAAGCAAGTGGAAAAGAGCTCATACCTGCAGGGAAGCGTTATCTATGTCATTTATGCATTTGGGAGTAACAAAGGAGTGCTTACCGACGTATACCTATCAGCGAGATGTCAGGGCATAAAAAGTCGGTGTGCGAAGTTTGTTTCTTCCATTAAGTATGTTCTGTATCCTTGCGTGGCTCCACCGATCCGAACATCAACTGCATGTACATTCGCTCGTTTGTCGCCGATCAGAATCCAGAATCCAGAAAGGCATTTGCAAATGGGATTTAAGGAGCAAATGGAACGCCGTTATTGCATCTGTCACGCGCATGATCATGAAAGAGTCGATCTGTGAAGCTGGGCGAACCGTACGTACATGGCTGTATCGGAATTTCGCCGGGTATGGATTTGCGAGCGCCAGTGCAGTAAGGAGTATGCTGTGTGCTAGTACTAGCAGTGGTTGTACAATATGAGCTGTTTCGGACGTTAATAATGGAGGAAGGGTGGAAGAGAACTAGAGATAACGCTGTGTACATTGCAGTGTACACAATGGAATTGCTGTTCAGAACGTTCAATGGGCGTCTGGAGGTCCATGTGCGGTAGCTGCTAACACTGACGGATAAGTTAGGTTCAATTTCCAAGGCCGTGCACGTGGTATACACATGTCGCCACTGCAGGGCGAGGTCGCGTTCGATGACAACATTGTATGTAGCTCGTCATCTTGTCACTTGATGAAACTGTGAAAGTGATCAGGTGCTGTGGCGTTTTACGTATATCATCCATTTTGGGTAGGCTGTTAGGAAAATTGATCCATTCCTCGCTTTGACTACCTTCACAGGTCATCTGATATTTCGTCCACTCAACTATCCTGACACTATCCAAAGTCTGTCGAGTCGGACTGTGCGAGGTATGCCCTACGTTCAACGATAACGCGATTCCAGGGACTGATGTTATCTCCTTGATTCTAGCCTTTACTTTCAACAGCCCGGCAATCATGAACGTAAATCCAGCAACCTATCACGATGCTAGCACCGACCACTCGGAAGCTAGATTCAGTGGCTACAACGTAATGTGACTCAACTTCCCTAGCGCGTTTACCACTGCCCCTTCCGAAGACAACATTTTTGTTAAGTTTGAGGCGCAGTGTCGAACACCCGGCCCGCGTTCCATGGGCTTCTTCTTTGACGAATCTCGGGAAGCATGGGAAGCCCAGCTATTCGCACCGCACGTGTAGCTGCCCTTTGCGGATTTCCCTAATTTCAAACGCCAGCATGGTAACCTTAGCTATGTGGGTGCGCGTTTATGCGAGCACACGCATATAAGAGGGATGTGAGTAGTTGACCAAACCCACAGCTTTTAGTGACGATTTCCACGATGGCTCTCATGAAACTTCTTTTCCTTGTGCCATCTGTCCTTGTATTCAATAATGCGTATATTTCTCCGAACCCAGCACCCAATGACGATGAAACAATTACCGGCGGTCCTCTCTACGAGCGTATCTGCCCAGCCATTTTCCCGATATTACAACGGGTATGTCAATTTTCAATGTCTAGACACATTGACGAATATCATATAACAGTTGTCGGGCTTGATACCCTGTGTCGCAGAGATAGCCGTCATACTCGCGGCTTATTTTCCGTCGTCTATCTCATCTGGAATCCTCTCCATTCTAGTTCACAGCGGACAGCTTCCGGACATGGTACCAAACATATATTTCATACTCGGAACAATCCTCGTCCTCTTGGGTTGCATGGGACGCCTATGGTGTTTTCGTGTCATGGGACGCCATTTCACTCACCAGCTAAGCTTGCGCAAGGACCACTCCCTCGTCACCACCGGTCCGTACAACATCGTGCGCCATCCTAGCTATGTGGCCAGCTGGATCGCCTCGTTCGGGATCTCGCTCATCTATGCGAGCCCTGGATCGTTCATGCGATCATCAGGGTGGCTCTCCACTTACATCGGGCGTACCGTATTTGGAATATGGGCACTCCAACTCATGCTGACCGGCGTGCTAAGCTGCGCACGGGCTATCAGCGAAGATGCGATGCTTCGCAAGCGTTTTGGGGCGGAATGGGTCCGGTGGTCTCAGAGGGTGCGCTACAGACTCATTCCGGGTGTATTCTAGTGATCTTTTTTTGTATCTTTGTTGTGTTTCAGACTGTAATCTTGACGCGATGCCATATTTATAGTTCTTTGATGTTTCAGCTTTTAAGCTTTCCGACCAGTACGATAATGACGTGTATTCCATGACCTTTTCATCCATACTTGTATAAGTCTCGATTGTGTAGAAAGGACTGGTATGTGCAACTGGATCACACGATGAGACCTGATGCTTTTACTAACAAACGCCATGTAAAGCAAGTCAGTGTCACCTGCCTGGCGCTCAGGCACGTCTTTGACTACATACTTACGGATCCCACTCTTGGTTTTCAGACTGGTGGGTCCATTACCAAACGTTTTGAACGGTATGTCTGATACATTCTTATGTTATAATCGCTGCTAACCAAAATGCAACTTTGTCGTGCACGCACATCCAGGGTCATATGCAGTAGTTCAGAAGCTAGGCTGCGATATATGACGCACCAGCCGATCGCATCTTGATTGCCTTTTCCGAACATGTATAGTTCCTGGTCTGGCCTTGTAGGCGGCGTTAAACGTTAACTTTGGTTGAACAACCTATGGCGTTGATGTTATGGCCATGCGCCAACGAACCGGAACGACCGCTCTTGTTTCTGTTGGGAGACGGTGGGCGTCATCGATGCGCGGGGAACATATCGGGTTCTACTAGAGACGTTGATCGGTCTGATTCGGCAAATGTTATTTGATGATAGATTGCCGCAAAGTCTCATGCACATGGCGCGCGATCACTCAGTGCATCGATCGACAACAGTCAGCGCCTGGTGGAGCGGCAAGACGATCAACTTTGGATTCTTGACGAGTGAGCCATCTTCGAATTCGTTCCATTCAATTTTTGCTTGTAATCTTTGCACGCAGTACACGATCACACTCAGTTCGTCTACAGATCTCCGACAATTTGAAATTATGAACAAACAGCAAATAAACTGGTGAAACGAACTGTTACTGAGCACCGCTTCTAAATTTAGGTTCATCGTGACGATCATTTAAACCTCAGATAATCAACTCGCCCAAACATGAGAAGACTCGTCAGAGAGATAAGCGGATCTATGAAGGCGTCACTATGTCCATAAAGAAATACAACATTTATTTTGTATGGTAAGACCTCAAACTACCGGTATCCCTTTAGTTGACCCCGTCCTTCTTGGCAGCATATACAAGCAAGTCACACACACGCTTCGAGTAGCCCCACTCGTTGTCGTACCATGAGATCAACTTCACGAACTGCGAGTTCAGCATGATCCCAGCACTGGCATCGAAGATGCTCGACGCGGGGTGACCGAGGAAGTCCGTCGAGACGACGCTTTCGTCGGTGTAGGCGAGCACGCCATTCAGAGGGCCGTCAGCGGCCGCCTTCACTGCCTTCTTGATGTCATCATAGGTGACAGGCTTCTTGAGGCGCACGACGAGGTCGACAACGGATACATCCAAAGTCGGGACACGGAATGAAAGACCACTACAAGAAAATACTTAGCATCTTGATGTTATGGGTCAACTTCGCTATCACATACGTGAGCTTGCCGTTAGGGAAGGGATGACCTTGCCGACTGCCTTGGCAGCACCCGTGGAGGACGGGATAATGTTGTTGTTGACAGCACGACCGCCGCGCCAGTCCTTGTTGGAAGGACCGTCGACAGTCTTCTGAGTAGCTGTCGTCGCGTGGATGGTTGACATGAGACCCTCCTCAATGCCGAAGTTGTCGTCGATCACCTTGGCGAGGGGCGCAAGACAGTTGGTTGTGCAAGAGGCGTTAGAGATCACGGTGTACTTGGAGTCATAAGCGTCGAGGTTGACACCGCAGACGAACATAGGTGCGTCAGCTGAAGGGGCGGAGATGATGACCTTCTTTGCGCCACCCTTCAAGTGAGCAGAGGCCCTGGGAGTAATCTCATCAAAAGCACTCGATCCACGATCAGGAATCCTTACTTGTCGATAGTGGTGAAGACACCCTGTTCACGTTGTTCCAATCAGCTTTCAACTCGAGGGCAGCATTGATTGAGAAACTCACAGTGGACTCGACGACGTAATCAGCGCCGACCGAACCCCACTTGATGTTGCTCGGATCCCGCTCACCGAAAACGTGGATAGGCTTGTTGTTGATGTAGAGCTTTCCGTCCGCGGTGTGGACGTCGCCCTTGAAGCGACCGTGGACGGTGTCGTACTTGAACATGTAAACCTACATTTCCCACCGATCAGATCGAACTCTGTACATGTCAATAGCTCATCTACTGACCATGTAGTCCAATTCAATGAAAGGACTATAAATGTAAATCAGATATAATTTTGGAAAATAGGAGGTGAACCCACTCATTGATGGCGACGACCTCGATGTCCTGGTTCTCGAGGGCATTACGCATGACGATGCGGCCAATACGACCTAAACGTGAGATATCGTCTCAGATGCATTCGCTTGTGAAAGATCAAGAGCATATACTCACCGAAACTATACACCAACAAAGAAAACAAACATCCGATTAACGATGAGCGCCTCGACCGATAATGATAACATACCCATTGATGCCGACTCTGACCTACGTTCGATGTTATTAGCAACCAAGCGTGTGTTTGTTGGACGAAGATGTACTCACCATGTTGGTTGAGAGAATATTGTAGTGATGGGGTGAAGTGGAGAAATGCGGATATGTCGGGAGGTGAGATGAACCTTTTATACTAGAGTCAATATTTGGGTGGGTCGATCTAATCAGTACTGATACGATAACGTCAATTGGCGGCGAACCCCCGAAGACCACTCCAAAATAAACGTTTCTTGCGATTGCTAATCACTGTTCGCACAGCAAGCACTAGTGTTGGTATGTTAGTAAGTATCTCCGTCCTTCTCTCAGCACCGCTGCCAGCAGAGGACAGCAAAATTAAGCAACGTGCTCTGGTTTGGTGGAGCTCTCAAATCGATTATAGGTCAGTGACCACCCAAATTGTTTATCGGACATCGTTCGGCTCGGATTTCTGAACTAGCAGTATCGTACCATCAGCATCGCACCATCAGCATCTGTCCAGCCTTTTTTCTTCAAGAGGTCTAGTTCGTTCTCGCTCTCATTCTCGCTTTCCTGATAATTTCTCGATGCTTCTAGGCAACTTTTGATTCTTTGATTCAAGGCACATGCGCACATTGCGCAGTATCCGGTATGTTCGTCCGATCTCCCTGGTGAGGTTCTGGGCGCAGACAAACGCTATCACGATCACCTCCGAGCTGCCTGATCAATGAAGCGTCGCTCACCGATCGAGTAAGTGACTCGCTCCCTGGTCTACGTCATATTCGGCTCATCAAACTATTGCCGTCATCATCACTGATGCAAGTCCACAGGCAGTGTCAAACGTGCACGCGAACCTGATTCGCTCTGTCACTCGTGGTGTCAGTTTGGCGGAGTCTGGCTATAATACCTACGTTTCTCACAACCATCCCCATTGCTCCTCTTCTTTCAGGTCGTATAGGCTCCCCCTCACGCTAGTATGTTTGGAATTAGAAACTCGGGTGGATCATACACGGGCAAATGGACTTAGTAATACTCTAAGTCTACAGCTGTACAGATTAGAATATTATAGGCGCCACTGGAAACTGCAACAGGTGGAATCAATAAACCGGGTGTTTGTGCCTGGAGTGTATGGGACCAGACAGTCGGACGTGACAGTGCCACCTCATGACGGCACGGAAGCGCAGTCATTCCTGATGTATTTACACACCAGCTAACCAAATATAGGGTGAAATGTCGATGCTTCAAGGGTAGATGTCTCGTACTCGCTGCGTGTTAGCTAGGGTCATACCGAATCAAGAAGTGTCATTATGAACAGTATGTCTTGCATTTGACGTTCCCCGCTCCTCAATTGAAGATCAAGGGCCACGCAGCGCGATGGACACAGGTTATAAATGCATCGCAGCTGGGTATCATGCCATCATGGAATACGTTCACCTGCAATTTAAATTAAGCAGTCAGTTTTCCCCTGTCATCCCAGCATCCCACACAGTCCAGCGGTCTTCCTGTAAAGTAATTTCCTGGCCACGCTGCCAAGGGGATCCTTTCCAATTATCAACCCCTGAGAGCGCAGAGTCTAACAGTGGGAGGAGAGCGTCTGCATTGTGCTCGAACAGGACTTCGGGCGACGATGAAGTTGAGATGCACATGCGCACCGCTTGAAATTCGGTGTCATTCGGAGAGTGGTTCTGGCGCATTGCAAGCGCATGATCTCCCAGGATAGCAATGAACCCGGACGATTCACTTGGTTCGCGTGAGGAAGTGAGGAATGCGAACGATGTGCCTGGTAAAACCGGTTGGTCACTATCGCACAGAGATCATGAGACTGATCAACTATCCAGGGTGATGGTTATGGGCTCACATCCAGCGTTCTTCGTACTGCTCCTGTTCTCCCGTCTCGGGGTTTACCCCAATTCCAGTTTCCACTTCTTCTCCATCACACGAAGTCATGGTGCCTTCATCAGGAGGGCCATCTCGTCCTTGGGAATCAATATAATGATTCCATCGGAAACGCAGAGGAGTAGAAGAAAGTGTAACACGGATTCCAGAAAAGCCCCATTTAATGATGCTCTCTGGGAGTAAAGGCTTCGAGAGACGTAAGTCGAGGTACAGCTGCGTGGAATCTTTGGAGTGCGTGTCGCTTGTGGACCGGGAGGAAAGCACGAGAACATCAGAGTCTTCGAATGGTTGTCCACCATTCCTAGAGATATTCTTTCTGGTTGTTATCGAGGGGGTGCCATATAACAGAGGCTCGGGCTGCTCCGGCGCACATTTGTTCATGGTTGTGAGTCGTCAGAAACTGTATGTATATACCGGAAAATTGGAAGGACCGTTCGATCTGGGACCCGGACTCCGTACCATCCGAGCCTAATTTAGCAATTCGGATAAAGGATTAATACAATTCGCGCGGGTCTGTAGTAAACAGACTCTCTCAGATCGTGCGCGCGAAGGCAAAACGTCTGGTATATTCACCTGTAGTAAACAGACTCTCTGCACAATATAAGTAAAGGTGAATTATAAGTAAAGAACTAAGTATCTTACCTCAGATCGTGCGCGTGAAGGCAAAACGTCTGAGGTAGCGAGTCGAAATGGCAATAGCTAAATAGTTCGAGTGATCTTGTAAGTAAGTGAGACTTGGAACAATGGTAGAGGGCGCTGGCCATAGCATACAAAGGTTTCAGTAGGTACAAAAGAGAAAAGGATAACAAGACCGAACAAAAGAACATACAAGTCGTTGGGTTGAACCAATCATAAGACGCGAACGAAAGCGCCTCGGTTGCGGGCGCGCTTGCTTAACTCCAATACCGGATTCCGGAACGCCTGCAGGCTCCTGCCCATACACAGCTGCAGAGGTCTGACAAGGCAGTCTGCTATAACTGAGTACAAACTATTAGTTACCACCAGTTCGTGCATCCCCTCTATATCCGCACATGATTTTGCTCCTGCAATGACTTGAATGCAATTTTGTGAAATGTCACACTAGGTCACGTGACGAACCCGGTGTACTATCTTACAATTCCAAGGATTCATGCGTTCACTGATGCTTATGGGATGACCTAGGCTACGGTATCACACTCATATGTGTTAACAAGCATACACAATACCCGGGAAAGCGCCATATTGTGTGATCATACAACCATTTCATACAGTTCAAACTCCTGAAAGTTGAAACTACCTCGAGAAACCTTTCGAGCAACCTGCATTCACAGACAAGACACCTCAGCATCACTCCGAACCAGAACATTGTGTTGCATCGCCCAACATTAAGGTCTCGCTGAAGACAAGTACATCAGTGGGATCGCCGCCACAATACGACAGTGAAACATACGCAGGCGATGATTTAAAGTGATTCGAACAACAGCCTTTATTAACTCTTCCTTCGCCCGATAGCACGAGGATTCTTTCTCGTTCTTCTCGGAGCGTTCAACAGATTCTTTCTCCTCCTCCTTAGAGCGTTCGAAAGCTGCTTTCTCCTCCTCCTTAGAGCGTTCGAAAGCTGCTTTTGCCGCTTTTGCCCTCCTCTTCAAGGGTTTAAACGGTAACTTTGCCGTCCAAGCAGGCGAATTTCCTTCATATGGATAGACAGCAGTCCTCACAGCTTCTTCATATGCGCGGGAAGCAGTAGCCACAGCGTCTTCATATGTGCGGGAAGCAGTAGCCACAGTTTCTTGATACGCCTGGACGGCAGCGCTCACAGCTTCCGTTACAGCAGCTGCATGCGGAGACGCGATGTACTGCTCCAGACCGACATAAAAAGAGGGATCACAGGTTTGCTTGTCTTGAAGATAGCGCCGCCTGTCAAAAACGTAGAAGGAGTGTTCGAAGATAATGACAGCAGCTAAATGATCAATAATAAGCGGATTTATCGCAACATAGCCTCAAAATTTACCAGAACCAAACTGAACAATGTTCTCCAAGGGTGATAAACCAGAGGCCTGGCACATTCGCAACATGAGAAATGTGTGTACAATTTGTGACTAATTGGACATACCACAGAGAGCAACCTAGACTGTATCTCAACACAGTGATTGTCACGAAGCTCGTCCTATTGACGTATCAGCTATGTCGTTCGCAAGCAAGGCTCTAGGCTCACTCTCTATTGAAGGATGCGCAGTTTTAGTGGTAAGTAAATCACGAACTCGACGGAGGCTCAGCACACTGACTTCCTGTTCAGTGATGTCCTAGGTGAGCAAGGTTCGAGCTCAATGGTAGATGAACATACTCACGGTCTGTCAACAGGAATCAGCGATGTTATTGGTCAGTGATGCTCTAATCCGACTGCAGATGGATACGCTTACGCTCTGTAAATGGGTGAACGATGTCTTCAGTCAGTATGGCTCGAGTTCAATGATGGATTAACCAATTCACGATCTGTTGATGGAGTGGCAGTGTGCTCAGTCGGTGAGGCTGACGTAAAATAAACACACTCACATCCTAACGATAAATCAGCAATTACATCGGTGAGGAAGGCAGGAGTTGGACAGAGCATGATCACACTCACAAGCTGCAAACGGCGGGAAACGACTTGAATCAGCATGGCTCGAGGTCGAAGCAGGATCGACACACTCACTTGCTGCGAACGGCGGGAAACGACTTGGATCAGCATGGCTCGAGGTCGAAGCAGGATCGACACACTCACATGCTGCGAACGGCGGGAAACGACTTGGATCAGCATGGCTCGAGGTCGAAGCAGGATCGACACACTCACTTGCTGCGAACGGCGGGAAACGACTTGGATCAGCATGGCTCGAGGTCGAAGCAGGATCGACACACTCACACGCTGCGAACGGCGGGAAACGACTTGGATCAGCATGGCTCGAGGTCGAAGCAGGATCGACACACTCACAAGCTGCGAACGGCGGGAAACGACTTGGATCGGCATGGCTCGAGGTCGAAGCAGGATCGACACACTCACATCCTGCGAACGGCGGGAAACGACTTGGATCAGCATGGCTCGAGGTCGAAGCAGGATCGACACACTCACATGCTGCGAACGGCGGGAAACGACTTGGATCAGCATGGCTCGAGGTCGAAGCAGGATCGACACACTCACAAGCTGCGAACGGCGGGAAACGACTTGGATCAGCATGGCTCGAAGTCGAAGCAGGATCGACACACTCACACGCTGCGAACGGCGGGAAACGACTTGGATCAGCATGGCTCGAGGTCGAAGCAGGATCGACACACTCACTTGCTGCGAACGGCGGGAAACGACTTGGATCAGCATGGCTCGAGGTCGAAGCAGGATCGACACACTCACATGCTGCGAACGGCGGGAAACGACTTGGATCAGCATGGCTCGAGGTCGAAGCAGGATCGACACACTCACATACTGCGAACGGCGGGAAACGACTTGGATCAGCATGGCTCGAGGTCGAAGCATCAAAAGACGTACTGTCTGTAAGTAAATGCTCAATGTAAATGATAGCAACCTTTGAACTTTCTGATTGGCTTACCAAAATATGTGGAAACCATCCGCCCAATATCGCTATCATCTTCTGGTGATCCTTAGACGTTGTTGTCTCTGTATATCTTCGGAGTGTTCTGAACAATATTAGTCCCTAATGCTTGCACCAAGTAAACGAGAACATGGGCAGTTACCTCTCAATTGCATATTTCATGCAGAGCTCCAGATTGCTCTGCTGGGTTGAGACGAACAATTGCTCCAGCACTTCATTATCCAGAGTTTCGGCCGTCCGTTCGATCAGTGGCTTACAATCTGCACTATCCTTGTTCATGTCTAATGGATCAACGGTCATCTTGTATCGCAACTCGACCATCAACCGACTTACCAGGCAGGCATACATGACATTTGGGAGGCCGTGGGAGGTTGTTGAGAAACTGTAGTTGCGGCCCATTAGCAAATGACTCTTCGGCGTGTTGTGGGGCCAGTGTTGTAGCGTCTTTTCGCGGTGTTCCATTCTTTTTCAGCTGTTTGAATGCGACGTCGTAGAGGGCATCAAACTTTGTGAACAATATGATCACTGGAACTGAAAATTGTGATTCTGTGCATCAGTCAAGCATCAGCCGGTCGTATGCGAACGCTTACTGGTTCCCGTGTCGCACTGGGAGAAGAATTTGTTTTCAGCTGCGGTGAACGACCTGCTCGCCTCGTCCATTGGTATACAGTACCTATGTTGAAACCATGAGTTAGCGCATGTCATGACTGATGAGGTGCAATTACCAGATGACATGGAGCTGGTTTGTTATTTTGGTCTCCTTGGAACGGCGAGTGATAAACGCCTTGACCTTGTTAAATTCTGATTCTCCGCCTGCCTCGAAACCGCGTGAGTCATGGAAGACGAATCCTGGGTTGCTTTTAAATATCATCTCATTCTCAATGTCGTGCTCTCCACGCTGAGAGTACGTCAGTTCACGTCCTCAAGTAAGAGCACATCTTAATACCTCTCTGGATGCTGCTAAGACTGCAGGATCGATCTGATGTCGATGAATCAGTACCATCCTCTTACTAGCATTGTGATGCCCACCTTTTGCCCGGCGCTGTTGTATATTTCAGGGTTGTCGCTTGTGTTGCAGACTTTCTGGAGGATGGTAGTTTTCCCTGCGTTCGCTCTTCCTATAATGAGGATTCGAAAGCGACCGATTTTATCTCTTATCCTTGAAGGATCCATGGGGGAAGGTACTAGTAAATGTGACGGAGGAGTACTAGCGTTGGTGTGGCCTTATAACCATTGCAGCCGGCAAATACCCAGCCAGGCTTCCACAGCAGGGCCCACGTGTGATAATTCTTGGCGTACCATGAGTCCATATTGGAAATTAGTATGAAATACACGCGTTGGAGTCGTGCTTCGTGCCGTATTACCCTTTCGGCTGCCTGCATTACCTCTTAAAGCTCGTCCAACTTCAGAATGGACAACATATCTGAGTCACTATTGAGTGTAATGATAACTGGTAGGGGTGCGCTGGTACGGTATACCGGCGCAGGGACACTGCTGGTAGGATGAACAGCTGTACGTAATTAAGTAGACCACGTCTTCACAATTTCCGTGGTATGGAAGTACTAGTATAGCCTTCTTATCGCAAGCTATACCGTTCTTGTGATCCACGTGTTTGTTATAATAACGACTGCAAGTGCTGACCCCCTCTGGCCCGGGTGCGTTCTGGCTCAGAGCAGAACTTTTCCCTCAACATGGCCAATGCTCTTCATGCCTCAACGGCTCTCTGCATCCATGGTACTCATTTCTTACCATTAAATGGTATCATCAACCCCGCTGAATATATCCAATAGGTATCACCGTCGATCTCAGCAAGTCGAAAACGAACGTGAAGTCTGCTGAAGTACGGATCAACAAGCATTCGCCAATTGAACTCGAACGCGAAGCAAAAAAGAGTTTGCGATGGACGTTTTCTCCACCCATGTAAGTACTCGATCCTAACACATGTTCTCACCTACGTTACTTCTGTGTTTTTTTGTTTGCCTTAGGGTACTTCTTCGAGGAGATTCATTCGTCTTGCGTATGCATTACAAGAAACATTTCAGAACCAAGCACGAAGACGTTGCTTTCAACCTAGATGATATGTCCCGCGCGTATAATGCAAGACAGGGTGAAACATGAATTATTGCATTCTCGCCTTAATCACTCACGAGCTCAACCTTACATATGTAGAATACATCAAGCTACATGAAAAGTTCAGTATCGTTGTCGACCTTGTCGGGAACACTTCAACTGATGTAAGGATCCACGTCTGACATCGAGCCCATCTAAATCGTAGATTAGCAGGTTGAGCATTCTGTCACTTCTGGTCAAAGCTCTGAGCCCACTACTTCTGGTCAAAGCCTTGAGCCCACTACTTCCGGAATATTTCAGCGCTGTCCTCGGTAAGTGATGATGATCATAAAGTGCCATTCTTGAGGTTGATACTCCCAAGGTTCCGAATACTGGTGATAGGAAAGGTATGTGGCTCTTTCCGATCCCAGGCCAGTGTTGATGATGTGCTCTTAATAGTCTGGTGTTGGCAAGTCATCTCTGATCAGCCAGGCATTTGGAGTAGAAAAAGAGGTGGGTTGAACACAACGCTTCAACGAGCACAGCTACTCATACTGTCAATAGATTGTTGCGCACAATAAGCCAGGCGAGGCTCACATCGACAAGGAACTCATCTCATCTCGGAACGAAAGGTTTGTTCTCCATGATAGCAAAGGCTTTGAACCAGGGGAGGAAGACAACCTCGAAATAGTCCGAGATTTCATTGACCGTCGGAGAAAAATGTCTTCGGAACATCAGTTGCATGCCGTTTGGTAGGGATTCTATCTCGACTATTCCGTTACGGCGGACTGATCAAAAACATGGAAGGCTTTGCTTTGAGATACCCCGTGCAGGCGGACGTTTACTAGAGACGGGAACGGAAGAATTCCTGAAATCGAAAAATAGCGGATCGCTAGGAAATGGTAAGTGAATCGATGGCTATCTCTATGCTACATTGGAGCTCACGCTTTGTCAAAGTTCCCGTTATCGTCGTTCTCACTAAGTACGATATGCTAATCGAACGCATACAGCGAGCTCTAGGTGGAAGCTCGTTGAGCGACGAGGCCTACGAGGAACTCACCAAGAAAAACGTAGAAGCCGAGCTGCAGGATACCTGCATTGGACCTCTAGAGCGATTTGCAGGGGCTAACATTCCCCACGCTACGGTCTCTAGTGTGTATCAATACTTCGACAAGTTTATGCGTACCTCTGACGCGTGATATTACAGCCGACGAAGACTACGAAGGGACGCTCACCCACCTGATCCAAATAACTGAAAAGTGTGTCAGTCAGCACTCTGCATCCGAGGCCTCGGCGACGGCCTCCATCGCTCAGCACTTTGCGTCTGAGGCCGCGGTGATGACCTCTATCGCTCAGCGAGTGCATCCTGGACTCAAAATCAAGGCATCAATCGAGTGAGTCTTGCTTGCTTCATTCTTGTCTCGTGATTTACGCAGCATCAGAGTCGGCAAGAAAAGTCTGTCCCAGTTTCGCGTTCATGATTATTAAACACAATCTAACTCTCAATGTCTTGCAGGATACTGGAAAGCGCTTACGTCGTGTCCAACATTCAAGAACCGCAAAATGTGGGATTGTCTACATGTGCTTCACACTGACATTGTCAATGTGTGGAACTTCCATGACCCTCATCATGTAATGGGCATCTTATTTGCCGTTGTCGCATCCACCCTAACGCGATTTGGGCATAGTACTTGCACAGTCAAGAGTTCAGGGCGATGATGACGAACATAGTCGACAAGATAGAAGTTGGACCGACAGCTAATCCCAAGAAGACCTTGTATGCTGGTCTTTTACGTGACAAATGAATTTTTCTCTCATTGAATGTTTACAGGGCTTTTGGGTTATCCATGGTGGGCACTATCGCAGGCATCGTCTCCGCCCTGGCGGGGCCTGCGGCTCCTATCGTAGTACCAATCGCAGCAGGTGCGGTACTCGCCAAATGGGCTTATGATGTATACCAGTTATCGTACGCATCAGTATTTTTTTTCATGTACGAAAGGATATCAATACTTCTTTGTCAGCCACCCGGCGCTTCAGCGCTTCATGGCGTACATAATTCACTTGACGCTTGTGTTGCAGACACTTTTTATCGTGTCAGAAAGCCAGGAACTCACTCGTAGGGCCATCAAGCTCGCGGTCGCTTCCTACCTCGCCTCCTCGATGAGTGAAGAAGTTCTTACTTGGATTCAAGATTATGATAGGCAATTGACCGTCCTGGAGCGCGCGGATCGCGATACCATGAATAAGATCATTGAAGTGATGCAGATGTACGAGATCAATGCGGCACAAATATCTGAACTTCGGGCAAAAGTTCCTCCTGTAGACTTGTTGTCGGACGAGCCATGGTAAATCGAGAAGTCGTAGCACTCGGTTGTTTCTTTCCTGGATGGTTTTGCGCGTGGGCAGTGTCTGAGTACTGACGCGATTGCAGACAGTGATTACTTGTACTATGTAACTGGATTTATGACGGATCACAACACTGTAGCCTATGATACACTACTCTATTAGTGTAATGTACTTACTGCTAGACTTGAAGCTTGAAGCTTTGAAGCTTGACTCGAGTCGAAGATTCTCTCTCGGGATGGTTAGCGTGACAGTCATGTGATTTCTAGACTTTTTCGTTCGTTCTGCTGTATGAACGCATTATAATTAACTTCCACTGCATAAGCTGCCCTTGCGATCATCGAAATATCGAGCGCGTACTCGACATTCGTTCAATACTTTGTTGTATTTTTGCGACCTATTCTATGCCAAAGACTGTCCTTCACCTCGGTCTGCTCGATTTTAGCTTTGCTCATGTCCAATCAATAACAATGGTGATGTCATTCACGGAACTTATACCAGGCGATAGCCCTTGCACCGTCTCCTGCGCCATCATTGGAGCCCCGCTGAGACAAAAACGTGTTTTCTAGGTGGGTTTGTCGTTCTGTATCAGTTGTCCAAGCTCATGCAACCCAGGCGGCGCGGACGCCGCAGAACACCAATCATTTTGACAATCAGAAACCCTGGAAATTTGGTCTCTTTCCCTGTGTTCAAGTTGCCTAAAATTTTTACACCCACGATGTCCGAGCTCGACAGGAGAGCCCTTGCCATGCAAGCGCCATCGGATGACATGCACTCTCAGTCGGTAGGCCTTCACTTTTGAATCTAACCATACGCTAATGTCAGGCTGTTTTTGTTCAGTTTGAAGACACCCCGGAGTCAGAGCCAGCATTTTTCCCTCGTTACACGGACGAGGAGCTATTGTCAATGTATGAAGACCTGCTGGAAATACCACTTGCCCAACAACCTGTAGAGGTCGCGAAGCGCTCCGCGGAAGATAGAGATACACAAGCCATGATTGAAGTGAGAGAACGGGTCCGTGTTCATGAGCGTCTTTTAAACTTCAAAAAAATGGAGTCAAGCACCTTACAGACCTTATAGATGCGTGATGGAGACTTGGACAACGCTGAAAGTGAATAGTCTCTGAAGGTCATCATCATTCCATCCCGCTTTCAGATGTTCACAGACAGTTCAGCTTTCCGGTGTTACACCGCCTGAAGACATTGTTGATATCGTGCTCGGATATCACCCATTGCATGGAAACATAGAAGGATTTGAAGGATTTATTAAACGGTTCGTATTCGGTGCATGCACTTGCAACTGTTGATTGACTATATCTATGCATAGGCAAACCTTCTGAGACTCAACGAGATCTGCATATCAAGTCACACCTGCGTGACCCGGCTGTCTTTTCGTTGCGCGCATTTCCCACTCGTGCTATCGACCTCCTGCATAAGTATGAGGCTTCTGGGCTACATGCCCCCATGAAGTCCTATTCATGCATTATATCCTCCCTATTCTCTGTCCGTCCCTCTCCTTCACCTCCTTCGATATCCTCAACGCCGGACGTGCCATTAGGAAAACTGGCTGCGAATTCACAAGCTTGGAACCTTTTTGCGCACCCGATCCCAGATGCTAATCTTGATATATCGATAATCCGCGCTTGTGCTTCAACTCCCTTCTCTCCCGAACCCGAGCGTGCCCTAGACCTGTGGACTGAGATGATTGATGCAGGAATTGTGCTGACCTAAGGGGCATACGATGCAGTGATCCGTGCTTGTGCGAAGGCTGGAGGAGAACGGGTCTCTGAGGCTATCAGCTTTGCGCGGCAGATGCGCGACCGCTTTGGAGGCGACTGGTCACACGTGTACCTACATATATACACCCGTTAGTTTTTCTCAAATGTCTCCTATATAAACATCCATTTTTTCGGATATTCCCACATTCACCAGTTGCACTCGGCTGTGGCACAATGTTCCCGTACTCCATCATTGAAGTTATGGCCAGCCAGACCTAGTAGTCGGTAAAGGTCTTGTGTAAGGGGGAAATCATGGCGTGACCGTGGGTAGCAGGGCCGGTGTCTGTCGGGTCAAGAAGTCATACACACGTTATTCCGAGATCATTACTGGCAGGGCGCTGCAAGTGGTGGGTTAAACTCAACGACAAATCAGGCACTTTGTGGCATTTTCGCAGCTTTGCGTCCGACCGAATTCCTCTGAAGCTCCGAGTTCAGGATAGTCTCATACTCACAGGCCTGGCTAATTACATACATTAGGCAAATGGCACAGGCACAAGAAAAACTGGGGAAGGTGAGATACGCTCCTTATTTGACTTCGATGTCAGGTCGCCGCTGTTAGGTGAGCTTCTTCCAAGCCCTTGGTTCTTGTTGTAAGAACTGAAAAGTACGTGTTACGCCAGGCAATCTGCACCCTCAACCAGAAATTATCCTTCCACTCACACTTGCTATGGCTTTGTGCGGCCAAGAGCAGACGGTTCTAAGAGGACTCGTCTGAAACTGGGAATCTAACGTTTTGTGAGAGTCAAATCTAGGTTCACGTTGTCTTATTGCTAATGGTGCATAACTGTCCTACTTCGTTCTTAGCCATCGTCGATGACATCGGCGGGAGAGAATTCCATGTTCCTTGCATAAGGTGGGAATCATTAGCACTGTTAGCGATGCGAACGATCATTTTATGGGAAAACAAAACATTTCATCGAACATATGTCACGCTCTGACAGGAAGTTGACGGGTATATTACGACTCTAGGCACCGTTCAACCTACTCCGTCTGTCTTGCTCGAGGACGAGCAGAATCACAATACATCGTGGCTTAGTGTGCATCGATGAGCCGATGACGTAGGCAGCGGGCTTGATATCGTTTGGCGGGCCAGAAGTGCAAAGGGAAGTTACGATACAAATGCCATATCCAGCTGGTGGATTGCCCTCGCACTCCGAAGCTTCGAACCTATAAGAACTCAAGAGTCTGAGGGAGGGGAGGTAAGTCGACTTCCTCCATGAGTCCAGTTGTAACCCTCATCTGCGTACAGGTCCCCGCCCTGGTCCTACAGCTCGGCATAACTTTGGACTTACGGGCTCCCTGGAATATCATGACTTGCATCACGCTTATCTTCGTCTGCTTGACTTGCATCCAGCATACTAAGACCAACATTCTTTTTGTTGATTACTTCATCGGCATGGCAATTGCTGGCATTGCTATGGATGCCATACACATGACATTGCTGGTCCGACCCCTTCACACCTTCCGTCATCAGAAGCAAACACGATCGGCGCACGAACTCCCTTGGTCCAAAAGGTTCATCTGGGCTGCGCAATTGTGTGGTTCACCCAGAGGAGTGGGCTGGAATCATCAAGTAAGTTTACCCTGGAGCACCAGTCGTTCGCAAGCCCTGATCATTCTTATCTGCAGGTGAAAAATCTGCCTGAGCACTCCGCACAATCAAGACAAGAATTTACCCTTTCGCGTCTAATGAGTGTAGCTAGGCACTTCGTGTGGTTCGACTTTGCACAATTCTACATAAGGCACAATCCGGCATACAAGTCCGCTGCGGCATTCGCATCTCAGAATTTCACCCGTCGCATTCTGGCCTGTGGCGGATATTTGGTGTTCTATTATTGCATGGGTGTTATCATCCATTCATTGATGGCGGCTCTTGCTGTAAGCTGCACGTCGTCTGAGCCAAGCTCTTGGCCCAATTTCTTTGGGAAATGGGAGGACGCATATACTATCAGACGATTCTGGGGGTAAGTCATTCGTCTGGCACATCTTCTGTACTCAATGTATTCGTTGACCAGTCGAACTTGGCATCAATGTTTTCGACGCGTGCGTATTGTTTCGCTGGAAATTACAGATCAAGTATACTTACCGTCAATCGGATTAGTTCCTGGTTCCCTTTGGCCAGAAGATGGCATCACTTCTTGGCTTCAAACCCGGAACAAATGGATCGTCCTACACGCAACTTTACACTGCCTTTTTCGTCTCTGGCATTACTCATATAGGAGGCGACGCAGTGCTCAACTCCTCTCGCCTTGGCATTTCGTCCCCTTTCTTCCTATATCAGGCATTCGGCATCACGTTTGAGGATATAATTATAGCCGCTGCTCGGCGCGCGGGAGTGACAGAGACGAAGTGGACGCGTAAGATGGGATATGTGTGGGTAATTTGTTGGTTTGTTGTTACTGCGACACCATGGGTCACTGCTGTCGGCATTGCTGGGGTAGAAGGTGGTGGGGCAGTGCTTCCCTCTAAATTTTTTCCACCTTCGTTATGCGACATTCTGGTCAGATCTGTGGACATTTAGTTGAGTTCTTGTATGCTTAGGCTTACCTGCTCTCTTGTGCATGTCGCGTGAATGCTGATAGTTACGCCTCTAACTCGAATACCCCGATTTACTGTTGTGACATATGCCCACATAAACATGTTTTTTGCCCTATCTCTCTAATCATGCCTTACCGATATAGAGTGCACTAATGACCCAATATGTCGGATAACTCAAAATTGACTCGAAAGAACTTTGGAAAAAAAGGTCGAATCCAATTTCATAGATTTATCATAGGCTAGTCACGCGCTTCTGGCTACCGGAGGCGGCGAAGGACACCATAAATCTGTATAATCCTCTTTCAGAGACGTCAATAAGAGAACAGCTTACTGTCACAGGGAGCACATTCCAGCAAGGGAGATAGCTCATCATCGAGATTATGATTCAAGACGTATTTCGACGACTTTCTCAGGAGAAAGGTTCAAATAGCTGAGCCGATTAGATTCACGAGACGACGTAACGATGACATGTTATAGATTTGCAGTACTGGAATCTTGCAATTTCAAAGGGCACCACGACCCCTAGAAGAAACAGACTTGCACGATGGTAACAGTAGCAGTGGCTAATAAGCCGAATAAAGCAATAAAACCACCTCTGCTACCTGCGCTGCGCTATTATATTCAATGTCAATAAACATCGTTTGTTGAGTAGCGTAACTTGCCTTTTCTGGCACACCCGTGGAGTACCCAATGGTGTAAGCGATACGGGTGAGCACCCAGAAGAAACTCGTGGCGGCGGCGAAGTGAGGATACTTCAGTCCGGTTATGAGAGTGCTGCAGATACGTGTCTACTGAGTGCGTCCTTAGGTCAGAGTGCAGATCGGCTCACGAAATAAGAATCAATGGGATACTCTCGAGAGTGTTCTGATGGCAACCTAAATCCGGAAGATCAAATTAATATGATGTACTGGGCCGCGTCGAACGTGAAGGACATACGCTGGACACAGTTGTACCGAAGAGCAGCTGGATTTTCTTTTAGTTGAGTGTTCTCCGCATACACTAGACCATGTTGAGTAAGAAAGCGAGAGAAAGTTAAGGGAAGGCTGACGTTGAGGATAAGGAATGCCCGCTGCCTTCCTGGCAGAGCCGATACGTACGATTTGCCATACGATGACCCAGGCAGCCGACAGCAACGAGGCAGCCACGTATTGATAACTGAGCAAACTATTAGCGCATGGCAGATTCAAATGGATATGCTTGGACTTGCCCATCTGGGAGAACTAGAGTCATAGCGTTTCGTGTGAGAGGGTCGAATGAGTTAGGAGAGCGTTGATTGAGATTGGAGATGGTGTGCTGGAGTCGAATTGACAAGTATGGCGAGCGAGTTTAAAAGGTTTTGTCAAGCTGTGTTGATTGCCGTCAGGCTTCCTGTCGCTGTGGACTGCAGCAGTGCGACCAGTGCTGGTGATCGTCCCATCGTCTCGAGTAACAGCGTGGTTACCCGGGCAAGCGTTGAATTACTCATTCCCCGGTCAACGTTAACATGAAGAATCAGCTTGGTCACTGCAGAAATTGATTTCCCGGTGGAGACAGACTTACATAATACAAGAAAGACGGTGACAAAGCCTCTTGCAAGCAGGCGGTTTGTCGGATCACCTGCACTCAGCCAGACGCAGCAAACACCGCATACGTAGTAGTATCTGTGCACCGTACTACATGTGTAGCTTCATACTGTTTAGCTTAGCTCGACGTTTCGGCGCGACCGATTTACCTTGTTCAAGACATCGTCGGTGGGCCTTTAGTACGCTACCGAGGGGTGGCACATGCCACACTCTTTTAATATACACTGAATTGCCACACTACCTACTACCTGGTGCTCTCCCCTGGTCAGAGAATAAGTATGGTCTCTAAGGGCTCCAGTCAGGCTCCAAGCTTTGGATAACAAGGCCGCCGCATCATTGGCGCATCAAGCTGTCAAAATCAAATTTCACCTTATCGGATGACCCAAACTACGGTATCATACGTGTGCATTGTGGATCCCACACCGCCTTCAGCAAGGCCCTCATTAAGGCTCATTCATTCATTCTGCACTTTGTCGGCTTCCACATCCGCGCTCAAACTCGATGTCCGGCACAACTGACGATGATGACCACCGCCTCGAAGCTCTTGGGTACAAGCCTTCCTTCCGGCGTGAGTTTTCGAATCTCGCCACAATTAGCTTCGCATTCAGTATCATGGTGTGTTCCGTTCATTCCATGGCAATTCTTATCTCATTTCAAATTTAAATCACAGGGATTGTGTTCGAGTGTCGCGACGACTCTCAACACACCACTCTTACTCGGAGGTCCTGCTTCCGTACGTCATAACTCGATCACTTCCAAACGTTGAAACAACCTTAATTCTAGGTTACTTGGTGTTGGTTACTTGGGTCATGTATGTGCTTCACGCTTGGGTCCAGCATCGCCGAGATAGTCTCTGCATTTCCAACATGCGGAGGGCTATATACAGCATCAGCTCAACTCTGTCCAAAGTCCCATCGCGCTATCGTAGGCTGGATCGTTGGTTGGTTAAACATCCTTGGTCAGGTCGCGGGAGTGTCATCAACGGAGTTCGGTCTCGCAAACATGATATGGGCTGCAGTATCAATATCTTCTCCGACATTTCAGCTGACACAAGGCAAGACGGTCGGATTGTTCGCTGGCCTTCTTATTGTCCATGGACTCTTGAATTCGTTGGCGACGCGGTACCTGGCCTTCGCTACCAGAGGCTTCGTGTTCGTGAACCTCGGTGCAACTATCGTCATCATCATTGTTCTGCTAGCGACCACGCCTCGTTCAGAGATGCATTCAGCGACCTACGTGTTTGGAAGTCAAGGAATTATCAATCAAACGGGAGGTTGGAATAATGGCATCGCTTTTTTGCTCGGTTTATTGAGTGTACAATGGACGGTACGTGACAAGGCGATCAGTCATAACCTTGACTTACCTCAAAATACAATTAGATGACGGTAAGATTAGACAGTTTCCAAAAGTCGTTGTAGACTTTAATGATATAACAGGATTACGATGCGACCGCTCATATTTCGTACGTACTCTTCATGAACATTTAGTGCCCAGTTAATGTATCTTCAATCTCAGCGAAGAAGTTCGTCGTGCCGCGTACGCAGGTACGTTATATCATTGCAGAGCGTCTAATATGCAGTCCTCATATCTTGCCTTCCAGCGCCTGCTGCAATATTCATTGCTGGTAAGCTTTTGATCTTTAGATAATTCCTAATAGTATTAAACGAAAATCTAGTCATCGGAACCGGGATATTGGGATGGCTATTGAATATCGTTCTCATGCTGTGTTCAGGTCCAATGTATGTTGTTCTAACCATCATCTATCCCCGCCACTTCTCATGAATACAACCAGAGAAAATCTGCCAGGAATATCTGGATCTGCATTCTTGCAGGTATGACACGAGTTATGCACTTGTAAGCAAATGAGCTCACTGCGCAACAGATCATGGTTCTGCGCATGGGCACACCTGCAGCACTATTCCTTTGGGTAGTTTTCTTCATTTGATACGTACTTGATCAGGCTGATGGTGTGATAAGAGCTTCGTATGCCTCACAGCGTTTTTCGTTGCACAAACGGCACTCCATGCATGCTCTCGTACTGTCTATGCCTTCAGCCGTGATCATGGCAAGTAACAACATCTAGCAAATATTCCATATTCTGACCATATCCTCAGGTCTCCCCGACAACGGATACTTTGGTCATATAGCGTCTTCTACTAGAACACCACTACGTGCTATCTGGTTTACTACTGTCTTGTCCATCCTTCCAGGTTTCCTCGATCTAGCCTCCCCGATTGCCGCGAATGCCATCTTTGCGCTTACTGCCATTGCACTTGATATGAGTTACATTATTCCGATATTCTTGTGAGAGAAGGTTTTGTCGTTCTTATCGCTTTATTGACCAAGGGCAAACTTTCAGGCGTCGCATCTACGCAAATCACCCTGACGTGAATTTCCGCCCAGGACCGTTTTACATGGGACCAGGTCTCCTCGGTTTGGCAGCAAATGTCACTTGCATAAGCTGGACGCTTTTCGTCTGCGTCATTTTCTCGCTGCCCACTGTGTTCCCTGTCACTCAGTTTAACATGAATTACGCGTCCGTCATCGCTGTCGGAGTTGTTTTTCTTAGTGGGTCAGTACGAATTAGTTCTGTTTCAAATTTAAAGCAACTAATTGTCTGGCTAGGGTGTGGTATGTTCTCAGGTAAGTTGTTAATTCTGCGGTGTATGTTCAGCAATCTCAAAATCATGACCATCCAGCGCGCATCGACACTATCATGGACCTTCGTCCAACCTTGATGCAGAAACCAAAGCTCGGATCGGTTTGGAGGAAGTTCAACCCGAATCGTCATCCATCAGTGAGAAAGAGAAAGATCATACGTTCGTTTCTTCGGACTCTGCGTAGTGTCGTCGCTCTCTCTATTAATGTGTTTGGAAGAACAATGCTCATGATTTGGGTACTTCTGCACCGCTTTATCGCCGCAGTCATCAGATATGGCATGATACCGCACACTAGTGCTTGTATTTCGACTTGTTACCCTGCTACCCCCGGAACTACTTATATTTGAATATGGATCAAAATATGTACTACCATTCCCCCCGCGTGGACTGGTCGCCACTTCACGTGAACAGGCGTTCCTGGAAAGCGCCGCAGTGAGCGCAAGGCCGAGCTTAAAGCTTGATCAAGCGTCGGTCTTCCAAGTTCCCCGTTACGCCATATGTAATAGTGCAGCGCTCCATATGCCATTGGGCCCGACTATGCGTGGCAAATTGCACGGCCGCCACCTTTCGTCACGGTGCTTCCGAACAACGCATGGTTCATAGTCTTCAGATTGCCTGAAGTGATCTTGCTTCAATGAAGTCACTGCAGTTTAATGACGGGGCAAGTACTTATGCTGCACAAGTTGGTGCGTTCATGGACACACCTAATGTGATACGATTCTATGTGGACTGATATTTTTAGCACTTGGACCATGAGGGACTGCTCTTGAAAAGGCTAGTACGAGCGTCATCTTGGCTGTTGACTGCGCTTGAAGCAGAGTACAGGCATATCGACACAACAGCAAATATCGTACGGTATGCTTGAAAATGTATATTTCAAGCCACGTTTCAATCCATGCGGTGATGCAGGCACCGAGGGCACTGTCGGCAAAACCATTAGGGCAATTCTGGTACCCAGAAAAGACCTCCACCGATAACCACGAAGCTTCCGCGAGTCGCTTTGTTATCTGGCGCTCGTGGTGAACTGAGATCAACGGCGGTCTCGTCGATTTGGCAGTTTCCAATCACACCACGCACGTTAGATAAAAGCCTGAAATGTGCTGGACTCGGTGATCCGGTGGGTCAAACTTCTCGGCTTTTCCCCTGGATAGCTGTGTCGCTCGATACAGCATCTCATTCGCTGGTCTCGAATTGCGCTTAAACGAAAGTAAGTTATCATGCGTTCAATTGGTTTACCGGCGCTGATGGTTCTCCAGATAATCACCCCATCTCTTCTTGAACGTGGATGGCTTGATGAAACGTGTGACTTTGATGATACCTAGGAAGTGGAAAACGTTCTTGCCAGCGGTAAAGATTGATTGGCGCCGGTCAGACTTCTGGGCGCCAGCAGCTTCTCGATACAGATGTGGGGCTGAATTCTGATATTTCCGCCCTGAACGGGAATGACTGACTCCAGGGTTGCTCTCGTATTGCAGGTTGGAATAGCTTTTGAAGATGGCCTGGCCAAGTTGCGCACGCTGTTAATAGTTGTGCAGATCGAGCGAGCGCTGCGTATTTACGATATGGGAAAGAACTGCGGTCGGTCACCGGTCACCATCAAGGTGACCTCGCGACACAGATCCATATCTAGCTCAGAATGAAGTTTTGCGGTGATGCAGGGATAAGGGTATCACGGTTGTCGCCAGCGCTGCCATTGGATTGGTGGGTGGAAATTTCATATTGCTACCATCAGTGACGACATGACTGTGCAGGTTATGTCGTTGTGCGCCAAGATCCGGCCATCGTGGCGCTGGAAAAAAAGTATAACGTTACTCTAACACAGGTTGTCCTATAATGGTACATCAAACGCGGGACAAGCCTTGTTGCGAAACGCGAGAACGCCAGTAGACAAGAAGAGTGTTTGAAGGTAAGTTTAGAGATGAATGTTCCCAGCTTCCCTCTCTAACAGCGCATTAAGAGGTGATTAAACTACACGAAGAGGATGCAAGACGGATTGATGCGTTGGACAAGAATAGCATTCGGCCATGTATGCAGCCTGATAAGCAGGGAAAGGTGCATGTGTGGACTTTCGATCGCTTGGGATGGCGAGAAGAAAGAGTGCTTCAGATAGAAGCAACAATTTTAAGGTGGATATGGAATTACGCCGGAATGGCTTGGGTTTCATCCGAGGTGATGGATTTATTTTTTCTCTGCTGTAAGTGTCATTCTTGTCATCTGTCGAGTAGGCCCCGCGGACAATCCCAAAGGCTGGTCTTGTGATGGTTGGGCGGCGTGCCGGGCGGTCGGATCGGTGTACTATCACTGCGGAACGCCTTGAGCATCTCATGACTTTTCGAATATTTGTGAAGCCCAGCTGTCAGCGCTAGCGTGAAGGTTTGTGTCTAAATGGCTAACAAGTTGAACACAGGGGCTAAGGTTCCCATTGTGGGTAAGCCCAGTTCTTGAAGAGTCTTAGAATGTTCGTTAGTAGAGATCCTGTTGAACAGGCTAAAGCAACTTCTTGGGTCCTCACCGCCTTGCAATCGGGTGACAGACACATCGACACAGTATGGAAATAGTACGGAACAGAGAAATTTATTGAAGAGGCTTCTGGGATTCCCCGCCGTGAAGAACTCTTCATTGCCACGAAACTTCCGTAAGTCTGTTTCCTCCGATGCCCTTCGCCGTGTCTGGACTGTTCTAGCCTTTAACACACCAAACGTGTGCAATGGTTCGTTAATCAAAGCTTGAAGAACGCAGGGCTGGACTATTTTGACCTTGTATGTGAACTCTGGCTCATTGCCAAGACAATCATGCCTTCTGATCATGGTACCGCTGTAGTACCTGGTACTTTGGCCTCACAGCGTGGCATATGATGGTAAAAATGCCGTATTCATTTACCGAGTGACGCGCATACGCGTGCAGAAAACGAGTCTAGGCCTGAAAACCCTGACTCGCATGGTCAGGTTAGACTGGATGAAACAGGCAACTTCAACGACACCTGGGCCGAAATGAAGAAGGTCCTCGCCAGTGGGAAGGTTAAAGCGATCGGACTGAGTAATTTCTCCATAAGACGTACATATCTTTGTATGGGTGGAGGCCGTTTTCTAAACGAGGTCCGCAGACGGAAGCATGGCATTATTCAAGACTGCTAGAATAATGCCGGCCATGCTTCAAGTCGACTGAGCCAAGACTGAGCATTGCGTAAATACGACGGGTCGGGAGAAGGAACTTTACCTTGGCATCAGGATGCACTCTTATCTAGCGCAGAATGAGCTGTTAGCTGATTGCAAAGAGAAGAGTATTACTGTAACAGCATATGCTCCGATAGGTCAGTTGGAGTAGCCCTAACCTTACTTTGGTATGTAGGTTATGCGACCACGGGTACGTGAAGATATGACGGTGGGTGTGAGATAGCCAGCCACAACGAGGCCACCCCTGCGCAACTTGTAATTTCATGGCACGTGGGTAAAAGCGCCATAGAAGTTGTTACGAAGAGCACGGATGCTGGAGGACAGAAGCAGAAATGCCAGGCAATTATCATGTAATACGTTGACACAACATTAATTTTTCTATCCAGATGTGCATACCATCAACGGGCTCGGCCTATTTGCAACAAACCTCATGAGTTCGGAAACGTGTCGGGGAGGTCTACAGAAAGGCTTGGATGAAATGAGTTTAGAAAGTAGCAAACTTACAGTGCATTTTAGCCCACACTACTCCTGCAATAGATATCAATTTGCATACTTGAGTATACAGTACAACAAGGAAAATCTAAGCGCCATTATTACGGGTAACAGGCGGTGTACGAATCTCGGAAGTCGACGGTAATATCGTTATGCACCTCCAAGTAAACGCCTCACTGTATAGTCACAGTGACTCGTTGTCAAAATCCTCCCAAACAACTATCGTCCGATCCGTCAAGAGCGGATGATGAAAAGCCTCCATATAGCACATAGGGCCTGTGATTGGGTTTGTCGCGTGGTTCATTGTCCACGGTATATGCTCCATATTTGCTTCCTCGCTCCCGTTCCCATGGACGCTCCTTCTGTCTCTGACGGCGGACTTTATTCGCGTCGCTAGGAGAAGGAGGATAAGGAAGGAATGGTAGAGTTGAGTGAACGTTAGGGCTGTGATTAGGATAATCGTATTGGTCGTATGATGGTGTCATTATATAACCGTTGGAATCCCCTAGAGTACGGGGGGGCCACGGTATTGACGGAGCAGGTTTTAAAGAAGCGTTTAATGAATCCGAGGAAGAACCATCACTCTCGTCCGACCCCGAAGAGAGATCAGGAATCAAAGAAGGTTGTGTTGGGGAGCTGCACCAATGAGTGGATTGCGACCCATCATCAATACCGCCCAGTTTTGAGGGCGAAACTTGAGATTGATGATTGAATACGGCACGAGGATGAAGATGTATGCCGTGTTGTGAACGTTTTGAAGTAGATGACGAGCTCACTGGACGGTCCTCGTCCAGGGTATAAGTACGTCCAGGGCACCCGCGCTCAGGTAGAGCACATGTATTGGGTGCCACAACAATGGGAGAGCGGTCATAGGTAGAAGGGGGGTATGCCGTATAGGTTCGAGTCAAGGTCGGGGATGGGGGAAAGTGAACAGCATGAAGCCGTTCTGGAGACCTAATGGCACGACCATAATTCGGAGTTGTTTGTTGGTGCTTTAGAATAGGGCGGGGGTGTGATGTCGATGTCGATGATGAGGGGGTATGCATGTCGTTATAAAAGAGACAAATAGTACAAAGTCAAGGACAAGCTTGAGCTCGACAAAGGTCGCCAAGAGGGTGTTAGCAGGAAAACAGCATGGTGGAAGATGGACTTTTAAAAGGGCTAAAAGGGCTAGTCGATGGAATGTGTGCTATGTATTTGGTGTGGATTTGGTCAAGCTTTGTTTTTTTCTTTCTTTGTGTGTGGCTGTTAATTAAATTATGTAATTTGATCCGGGTAACGTGGTTATTTCGCCCAACTCCGCGATAATAATGCTTCCACTATCTTTATCATAACTTTGACACGACATTTGAAAGTTCAAATCTTGCTAACATAGCGTCTCTGTCTGTCGTCATACCCTCCTATTATACCATGAACGTAAGTTGATAGTGGCTGATATTATTCAGGGCCCCCGTTGTGCCGAGTGGAATCAGCCCTCAAACGTGTATCAGAACACAGGTCGCCAAGTGCTTGCTAGAACACTGGTCGCCAAGTGCCTGCTTTTCGGCTATGTTATTAGCCTAACTTTCGGATATGAGTTCTACATGAATTCATGTATGGTATTCTGTACTTCTGCTAACGTCTCGAGCCACCATCGAAGATCTCACACAGAATCGCATCCGAATACCCTATCATCTTCGCTGTCCCGAGTATCGTCCTACGTCTACTTAATACATGGATTACTCTCAGCAACATTCGGCAAGGAGACTTTGGTCTCCCGACAGTAACCAACAACTACTACCAACAATATCCACTTCAGTCTGACAGATGCTTCTAATTCCCCGCCTTGTTTAGGCCGCGACTTCGTTCTCGGTTCCTTGGCCAATCGCCGCTTTTGCCCCTCCCGTTCTCCTCTTCGAAGCTATTGTGGGCGTTCTCGTACCTCGCTTGGTGTCTCCGTAACAGAGAAAAATACATTCTCATCTGCGCAAGTCCAAGAAGGCTCGCAAAGAACATGACGTGTGACTTTATGACTGGCTCTTCAGCACATAAAGAAACACTCTGTACTTGACCCACACGTGACCTTTCCATATCTCATGACGGCGCCAAGTCACTCGACTATGGCATTGGACCTCAGTCTCGGAGTCTGACAGTCCTATTCATGAGGTACGTGCTTATGTATTTTAACATCTCAACATCTCAAACAAGCTAGCATGGTGAATAACTGTCATCTTAGAGGGTGATCCTCTCGTGATCACCGATCATCCCTGATCAGCATGCCTAACATGCCTAACATGCGCCTTTTTTGCCTGTGGAGAACAATCACGAAATACATGTCACCTGGAACTTCCGATCACTGGGGCCAATTATGCGGAGCCTTAACTTTGTCGTCCCGGTGGTCCCTTGTATTCATCTCGGTCGCAAGTCAACTGCTTGCCCGGTGCTTGCTTGCTATGACTTCTGACATTTCTAAAGAACACAACGGCTCCGCGAATACACATTGAAGCATAAATATCACAAAAGTAATCATTAGGACAAGCCCCAAGTTGCCGGCATCGTCGATATCGAACCCCCAACTCATGCGATGTGCGACTAAGACATGGTCAGTGAGGCATGGTTCGCACACATTTAGCAGTTCATTCAGTTTTAGGTGAGACAGGTCTTCCAGCTTCTTGAAGATGCCCATGGGGTTGACGCATGATCAGTTTGACCTCCCACGTCACGGTTTGCACTATTTTCTAATAATAAGATCAGATCAGTAAGGGTGAGTACCAGTTGGTACCTGGCTACGTGCATCGAGGCAGTATTTTGATTCACTGATGCCTCACATGAAGAAGTCCGCGTTTTACTCGTTGCGCCACTGTTCTGCCCCAAAGATAAGATCATGATATAGCCGCTGTCCAGATGGATGCAGTTGATTATGTGCTGTTGTGACCTTTATTGGGCCAAGGTGCCTCGGCGGATGCCCTATCACAATCAGTCTGACATTCAAAAATGTTGTCATCATATCGTGAACTCAAGAGCAGCGCCTCCAGTCAGATCACAAGATACAGGCACTTTGATCCGAGTTTGTCGAAAACGCGCATCAGGAACACCGAGATGGGTAGTACTGAAATTCCAGCCTAACCAATTTCACACATACCAGTAATACTGCGGTGTGCGGCTGAAACACGCTTTAACAGGAACTAGCGCCATTGTGAATCAAAGGCCTTCAACAACGAAGGAAACAACAGTCCATTGTTACCGAAAGGATGCTGCCACCTGAATGCGTATCGCTTATTTACGACGTATGTACCATCAAGAACATTCCATTGGTATTAGTTAAGGAGAGGAGCCGATCCTCCAGTTCCCTGAGAACGTCGCCGTTAAGGAGAGGACATATCTTTATCCACATGAGATCTGATGCAGAGTCGCGGAATATTGCCAACGTTCGCACCTTGTGGTCGACAAAGTGGGCATGAGCTAAATTGACGTGAGAGAGGATGCAGAGTATTTGTGAACACGCGTTTTATCCTTGTGGTCGTTACTGATGGCAAACAGGCGAAGCCATAATCAACTTGAAGGAGGAACGACCATCTTCTTTCTCTACAGTCTGGCTACCCAGAGAAACAGGCTGCTTACATTGGCTGGTGATATTACGATCAAGCTTCTGCTGTAAAGTTGTATGTACTGGGCATATCCCGGTATTCGAACAAAGGTATTGAGCAAACAAATCATGTCGGGGTTGGTTAATTCGTGCAGGAGGGGATGGCATGAGAAAAGGAGCAGGAAGTCACCGGAGGAGTCTGGAGCTAATAAAAACTTGACGTTTCATTCAAATTTAGCTCTTGCTGCGCTTGAGGCCTTGAGGATGTGTCACCGTTCAGGGTTCCGCTAATAATAAAGTACCGGGATGGAAGGGTGTACAACCTTGTGAAGCGCTCGGAAAGTGCCACCATTCGGTATTTACTATTCAGGGGGGTTCATTCACAATGCCACTTTGCCTTCGGAGCCAGGTAGACCGGTGACGTTACCCACGCAGACACTGCAGGGCTCAAGTATCTCGTGAATGCTCGTGACATAATACAATGTTGTGATTCGGATCTAGCAAGGGTTATCACATTTGACGAACCTTGGACTGGCCTGTGCCGGCGACAGGTGTCCACAAAAGATGAGCACCTGTTATGATGACTACGTATTCGCAGCTGAAAAGCAAACCTTATTAGTGGCGACAGTGTAGGCAAGCTGATTTCCTAGCAGAGAATTGGATGGCAAGGGACATCATTGATAAATGGAACCCTGCCAGCCGAAAATGGAGGGAAGATGAAGGTAACCGCGATAGAAATTCCATCGGAAAGGTGATGAAACTAGGTTATGCGGAATGCTTACCCAGATGCTACGGAACCGTCCTGCCAGTGGCCAACGCACCTACTCTAGAGGTGTTTCGATGAGGTTGGCAATCTTTGGACGTGTCACTGGATGCGGCCGCCGGTCCATATCACTCAAGGACCTGTCAAGTAATGGATTAAGGCTACTGGCTGGTAGAACTTGTCCATGACTGCGTGGGGATGGAAAATCGGTAATATGTAGGGATAAAGACTCGGGGGTGACGCCAATGCGGCTGCCGAGCAGGATCAGAGGGATATGAATCAGTGGTAGACGGGGAATACAACAAAGTCGTGGTTTCCCGCGGAAAACCTATTAGATGGGAGAAGAGCGCGGGAGTGTGAGTCAACGTCGATGCTCGCCGAGTGTGTGGTTAAACTGATTCAATTTGCAAATTTTCAAGTTACGTCTGCAATTTGGCCAAAAGTTTACGACGACGCGGTGATCTTTTTTAGTACGTCATGGTAGTAGGAACGAAATCGGCAGCAAGTGCGTACGTACTACCACAACGTGGCATGCAAAGTAGCAAACCGGGCAAGAAAACGCACCTCACTTACTAAGCCTGAGTACTTGAGCTTTGATCGAACGCTTTCCTCTGCATGTAATGACTAAATATCGACCTATTTAACAATTTTGTTTTCCAGGAGTTTTACCTCTCGAGCGTTCGAAACCATTAATGGCTCGGCCTTATGTGGTCCCCAGATTTTCTGAAGCAAAGTTCTATGATTGATGACTCAACTAATGCATATCATCTCATATCACTTCTACCTTGGTATGTCCTCCTTTCAAGTTGAACTGGATTGTTGACTTGACAAGGAGTTTCATGCCAACAGGCAGCCCGACCTTTTGGCACAGGGGCGGCCCGGGAAAGCGACAATAATGCCATTGGCTTCTCGCGAATTGACTGCAGAGATTCAGAACACCGCTCTAACATAATTTCGTTTTACAAGCGTCGACTAATGTCACTGAGTTCTGGGGTTCATCAGCGCATGACTAACTGCCATCATTACACACATCATTTCCCCACCTTGCGGATCGATTGCCTCTCACATGCTGTCTTCAGTCACGACTCGCTAGTGATCAGCCAACTTGCTCGTGGAAATAGAATCCTCGAACTTTGATATCTAACCCGGAGCCTGCGAAGATCAAGTACTAGTCATCCGAGTTAGCAAATGTCCAAATACCTGCCCACACCTGGTCAACACCTGAACGTCCTGCCAACAACCTGATAATCCTAGTTTGAGTCTATCATACCCGTAAGCTTACCTGACGCTGACAGAGTCATTGTTGGCAGTACTCCGCCAGCCTGGATGTTCTGAAATCAGGTCATTTAGGCCACCTTGCACTTTTCCTGATGCGAGTAGCGCATTTGCTCACAGTCCAAGTTATAGGACAAAAGCGCCATTTAACGTCACTCTGATTTTGGGTGATTAATCACGCTACATGTCCTTTGCGCATTGCGTTCATCTCAGCTGGTGTTCTGTACATGCGTGGAATTGGACCATCGGAATTCCTATGAATCGACGTATATGGGTTTTAACTTCTCCGGCTGCATCCTGGATTTGAAGTTCAGCCGCATCAGTACACTGAAAGACGATATTTGATTATACAACGCAAAAAAAACGTCGAGGCGACAAGTGGCAGGACATCTTCTAGGAAGATTGAGTCTTGTACTGCAATATATGGGATACCTACTTGGTACCTGCACAGGCTCAGCGTATCAATCAGACTAACAAATCTATATTCTCAGAAACTCCTCGAGGCTTCGCATCTTCCCAAATGCCCTCCGTCCCAGTGGTTTCGTGCGCAGTTTCTGCGCTCGACTGGGGTTTCGTTGCCTCATTCATATTTTTCTTCGCAAGAGCTTTTCGATAGGTGCTTCTTGAGACGAGCAGCCCGAGAGCGCCCATCACGATTGCGTGTGCTCCAGCATAGAATGCATAGTACTTAATTTCGGGCTCTCTATGAGCGAGGTGCAGGAAAACAATCCCCATGCTACAGCGAGTTTGAAAAGTTAGAAGCTACACGCGAGAATATTCGCAATTCTCCACGGAAGGTACTCACCAAAGCGTTGCCGCGGCGCGGAGGCTACATGCATCAAATTTTAGCTCGCTAAGAGGTGGCTTATTGAGTAGTGAACGTACAGGTGAAGTATAGTGGCGACAATTGGATTTGCGACTTGCATCTTGGGCGTGAAGTGTAGCAAGTGGGGGATACATATTTTTGTTTTATGTCAGACGAGACGAGGCACGCCGCTACTGGAACAGTATCTTGTTCACGAATCCTGTACCTGAAGGTCCTGAACATGTGACATCGTGAGTCCGCAGCCTTGATGGCCAGAATAGCATTCACATCGGCATTAAGTCAGTAAGGCTGCTGTCCAACGCCTGGACGGCCTGGAGTGTATATAAGTATATCACTCAGTCACGATCCTAGCATCATTTTTCACCTTCACCAGTGCAATCGAACAGTATCATGTCAAACTTACCTGGGCCTCCTCCATCATCGACTGAGAAGTTGACTGTCAAGAAAGTGTTACGAGCCACCGGTGTTGGTATCGTTCTCCTGCAAGCAATCAGATCCTTTCTATGATCTGAAACTGACCATTACTCCTTGACAGTTCTAATATCATCAATGGTTTATGGTAAATCATCGATTTCTTCTTGACTAGGCCATCAGGAGATCAGGAGATCACTTTTTACCCACTTATATCCTACTTTTCACACGACTTAGTGAGCAAAGTAGCACAAACTCGAAAAAGTAGAACCTACTTTTTCAGTAGATCTCATTACTCATATTCTACTCATTCTCAACTTTTTCTCAACTTTTTCACACTTATTTTTGCGGGATGCGTTTGAAAAAGCACAATAATGTGTATTAAAAGTTGACTATTTTCCACTTATTCACAACTTATTCACAACTTTTTCACACTTATTTTTGTGGGATGCGTTTGAAAAAGCACAATAATGCATATTAAAAGTTGACTACATAAAAAAAGTGCAAGAAAAGTGTGAGAAAAGTAGTCCAGAAGAATGAGTAAAGTGCAAATGTGAGTACTAGTAATAATGTAGTACTCATGATGGCTTGAATAATGGGAATGGGAGGTGCAATGGGGATGTATTGGTGTCCAAATGGTACTGGGTAAGTGCAATAGTGCACAAAGATGAAATCAGCTGACTTGAATATTCTACTGGTGTCAGATGCATCAGCAGTAGTAGTGGAACATATGATGAGAGGAAAATACATACAAAGCAGGGCACACTTGCTCTTGGGTTTCAGATCCTCAGCAGGAGCATTCTTGAGCCTTTGGGCTGCCTCCTGGCACTGGCGCAACAATAGTGGTGTTCAAAGTAAAAATTGGGCGGCTCTGAAAACGTGGGTAAGTTTGACGAATTTCTTTCAGAATCTACGGAACATTCAGCAGGCCCAAGCAGGGTCTGAAATACAACCTTCATGCTGTATGTGCAGGATGCCTGCACAATGTCCACAAGTACGACATTCAGAACAAATCAAAGCACGTATCAAGACTAATAACACTTTACATATGGCTGTACCAAGGCCCCCACACACTAATAGGGGCAAAGTAAGTACAACTTGCAGTACAAGGGGACAAGGGAGGGGGGATGTACCAGTATTCAGTACCACACAGCCACTATTCATCAATGACACCACCGACTCTGCAGCTGCCCCTGCCACTACCTCCACCACCCCTGCTGCCAAGTTTAGTGTCAGGTGGGAGATCCACGAGTTGGATCGCACCAATGCCCTTGTACAATTCCTTGACACTCATCCTGCTGACTGCTGTGTGCTCTTCAATGAGTTGAAGAAATCTCGCGATCCCGCCATCAGTGAACCTGATCCTTCGGGGAGTCAAAAGAATCACATCTGGGCGGTGATAGCTGAAGTTACATATCTTTGAGAAGGATGCATATGCTGAGGACAAACACAAATTTATGGTGGCAGTTTCTAATTGTATTACACAGTGTGTATTCCCCCCTCTCATATGCATTAATTCACTAAAAAATCTTAGTCTCAGGAACAAATATAAAAACAATGTGCTCGCTTCCATCAGACTGGCGCTGGCATCAATTCACTCAATGCTGCTGGTGCACAAAATCTTTGAGGTAAGGTTTTTTTTTATTTAAATTTATCAAACTGCGCTACAACAAACTACAGAGCAGGTACTAATCAACTTCCCATGGTTTGACATACTTGATAAACTTTGGAAGAGCAATCCAGTGTTTGCACCGAAGACAATGTCGTCTGTGCCGGGTGTTGATCACGCTGCTAATATGGCTGCCCTTACCCAAGGGAAGGGCCCGCAGATGGTTGCTCAGGCCCCTTCTCCTGACCCCTACAATATCGTTGGGGACACTGAGAGTGACATCATTGACGACATCTTGGACAAGCCTCTGCTTGTCCAAGGGAAGGGTAAGGAGAAAGCTCTCCCCCCTCCCTGCTCTGATGAACCCATGGACGAGGACCTTAACCCCAATGACAACCATACCTTCATCCCCCAACCTGAACCTCCACTCCCCTCTACCCCTCTCAACAATGCTGATGATGGGGAGCCCCAAGATGACAATTTCGGGCCATCCAATTAGGAGGACGAGGACACTGTCCAACAACATCTATCCAACAAGTGCCCTTGCCCATCCTCACCACCCCCTGTGCATGCTCCTCATACCCCTAACAACCACTCCCATGGAAAATTCCAAACTCATATCAATCGTGTTACTAATCGTGGTGCCATCCGCTTGCCCAAGTCATCACCCTCTCAGATATTGTCATTGTCATCTGCATCATCATCGCACATACGCGCCACACCGACAATAATATCAGGGTCGCAAACATCATCCACTCGCAAAGCAGCCCCCTCCCAAAAATCCTCCCTCTCAAAGTGCGTCGATTCAGAGATGCAGGACATCCAGGGTAGGGATCTGCACGGGTATGGGTATGGGTCAGAGTCTTGAGTACCCATTACCCGCGTGGGTACTGCTGAGCGTGCTTACAAATATTTGTGTTCACACTTTCACCACCGCTTGACTCTCATCTCATGATAACCACCAATACCAGCACCCAATTCCCAGCCTTCAAGCTAACTCTTGTAGGGGTGTAGTGATTGGGTTGAGGCTCTAAGCGGCAAAGGTGCGTTTCTTGCTGCTCTCACTCTCTCACTTGCTAATCTTTTGCTCATTGCTCTCAGTCGTTCGCTGCTTGTTCCAGGTGCGCATGTTGTTTTTTTCTCGTTTACTGATATCTTAACTTTACAGTGTGCTACTACCACCACTCGCACCCTACTACCACCACTCATGCCCTCATCCCACCCTCCATCTCGTTCTTCCTGTCTCATCCCTCCTTCCACTCTTCTGGTGCTCTCCAGTGTCCTCCGCATACATCCGAGCCACGTCAGCATTCGCTGACGTGCGCCGGGCGTGTGCGCTAAGCACTGGTGGCTACTGGAATCGGGTGGGGGCGGGTACGCACCCGCACCCATACCCATACCTGTGTCTATGGGTATGGGTTGGCCTTGAGACACCCGCGGGTTTACCCGTGCGGATCCCTAATCCAGGGTCAAGTCAAATCACTCACTACCAGGATGAGTTACATACAGTGGCTCAAAAAAGTGTCCCAATGTTTGTAGCTTTTCACGTAATTGCTATATCATGAGTCAAGACGTGGAAATATGACTAAGCTATAGGAAGATGTCGGAAAGGTCTGCTTCTCAGCTTCATTTCGGTTTCCTATACCGTGGGAAAGTAATGACATTATGTGAAGATATGAGTATTTTAATTTGATGACTCATTGGGACACTTTTTTGACCTTGAGTTTAACTAATGTAATCTCTATAATTCTAGTACTATGTGTGACCTCCTTCTGCCCCAATCACTTCTGCCACTCTTCTAGACATATTGTCTATCAATTTTGGGTATTCCTCTTTGGTGATTCCATCATACTCTGCTGTAACACTGTCTCATAGTTGGAATAACCCCTATGGTGAATCTTGATATGCTATAAGTAATTTCTTGAGTGATTCTCAGAGGTATTCAATAGGGTTGATGTCTTGGGTCTATGTTGAACATGATAGAATAGTAATATCATGGTCTGCAGGCTATTGGTGGCTGATTTAGAGGTATACTTAGGGTCATTGTCTTATCACAAAACAGTATCTTCTTCATTAACTTATAACTCCTGCATGCTTCTTAGCAGACATTCCTGTCAAATGAGTATTTACTACTCTGTATTCATACTCCCCTTTGCTTCATAGAAAATTCCCATTCCATTTTATCTCATATAGTCCTATACCATCAAGTTTTCATCTTGAAACTTAAGGTGTTTATTTAACTTTTCTTTATCTTAATGATTGTCCTATCTATTTTAATACAAATTTCTTGCCATATGATCTCATCCTATTGATTTTAACCATATCTAACTAGATAAACCTCTTTCAGCTATCAGCAGTCTAATATTTGTACTTGAAAGTAGCATCTTGTCTTTTTTTTTTATAGGTTGGAGACAGAAGAATCTGTTTTTCTTGATTATAGCTTTAAGATGGGCTGTCTTGAGAGTCTGTCTGACTATTTGAGTAGAGATAGTCATAGGAATGATGGAAATAATCAATTTAGTCACTTTATTAACATCAGCAGCCTTTTAAATTAGAATATAGTGATTAAGAGATCTTAAGTCTTATAGAGCAACCTTCTAGATTGGCTACCAAATAACTTAAAGACCATAATATTACTATTCTATCATGTTCAACATAGACCCAAGACATCAACCCTATTGAATACCTCTGAGAATCACTCAAGAAATTGCTTGTAGCATATCAAGATTCACCATAGGGGTTATTCCAACTATGAGACAGTGTTACAGCAGAGTATGATGGAATCACCAAAGAGGAATACCCAAAATTGATAGACAATATGTCTAGAAGAGTGGCAGAAGTGATTGGGGCAGAAGGAGGTCACACATAATACTAGAATTATAGAGATTACATTAGTTAAACTCAAGGTCAAAAAAGTGTCCCAATGAGTCATCAAATTAAAATACTCATATCTTCACATAATGTCATTACTTTCCCACGGTATAGGGAACCGAAATGAAGCTGAGAAGCAGACCTTTCCGACATCTTCCTATAGCTTAGTCATATTTCCACGTCTTGACTCATGATATAGCAATTACGTGAAAAGCTACAAACATTGGGACACTTTTTTGAGCCACTGTATATACTGTGAAGGCGGCTGCCTCTGAATACAAGCTCGCAAAAGTCAACGCTCACCAACACCAATGTGACATTGAGTTTCAACATGAGCAGGCCAATAAGGAATGCAGTGAGGCCACCATTGTGCACCAGTGTGAGTAAGAAGCCAAGGCCTTGGAACTTCAAGTTCTTGAGGCTCAAGCTAAGGTTCAGGTGGAGAAAAGGGCTGCTTTGCAGCTTGAGATTGAACTTCTCAAGTTGAGAGAGGGCGCAATCTGAGTGCCCGATTGTGAGTGTATTCATTGTCATTGCCACTGTGTTATGTGTTATTCGCAAACATTATAGTTGTGTGTGCTCATTTTGTTCTGCTTATATCACATGCTTGTTTTTCTTTTCTTTTCTTAAACCATATCTTGCATACATATGTCTACATATCATACCTACATGTTCTACATGCCTCCTATGTCTATGGTAATGCATCAGCTGCTTGTCTTGTCTTGTGTTTGATTCCTGTAAGTTACTACCTCAACAAATTCTCCATTAACTCTGCACGAGCTGCATGGCCAGGGGTGCCAACATAGGAAGTATCACCCATAAGACCTACATCAGGGTCTTGTTGCTCTGGGGGGGATAAGGTCTCTTTCCTCACCCATAAGGGCCCAATCAGTGGTACTACCTTCACCACTAAAAATGTTATGCTGTTCTTCAAAGCGAATAATCATGTTATGAAGGATGATGCAACACATCACCCAGTAGGAATAGAACTGAAGGTGGTCGTCATTCTGCAATGGGTGTCAAAGCTTCTGAAGAGACTGGAAATGGCCCTTGAGAGCAGCAAATGTGTGTTCTAACTGAACATGAATCTAAAAAAATTAATTAAATATCAAGAAGTTGAATGATAAAATAATAGATGTACCTTGGATAGGATAGTATTAAAAGCCTTCTGGTCTCTAGTCAAGGACCCATTAGGAGGCTTTTTGAAAGGGGGAATGCACCATGACTCCAAGGGGTAAGCACTATCTGCCCAAATCCAATGATTATCTCCAAGAAGTATTGTATGCTGTTGGAAAACACGAGTGGATTGGAATGCAAATGCATCATATGCACTACCAGTGTGACCAATAGAATAATCCACTATAGTGAGATTGTGAGGCAGGATGACTGCCTAAAATATTTTTTAAATCAGACAAAGAGGTATTAAGTAAAAATAAAACACACCTGGCAGTTGAGGGAATATTGAGACTTCCTGGTGTAAAATGACTCTCCATAGTAACCTGGCTTTTGATAGAGATTGAATAGTGATCCATCAACTGCCAAAATACCATTCCTCCACTGTGGGCAGGACTTGGACTGAACATAGTGATGAGCCCATGCAACCTCACGAGAGTCGAGAGTAGGAAAGCAGATAAAATTATCATGCTGTTCAAGCAGGGCAGTCATGACACGATTAGTGCAGTTTGTAACAGACCCAATGCTTATGCCTGCCCACTGACAGATATCCTGGTTGGAAGCTGCATTCCCATAGTGGCCAGCACAATTAAGAAAGATAGAGAGTTGCACAGCAACAGGGAGTTGGGGATTATTGGACTGATTGTGGAAGACAGGGTTACCACTGATTTGATCAAGGATGTCATCAAATATATCAGGATTAACACATAGCTTCATCCAGAATAAGTCAGGGCGATGGATAGCAAAGTGGTCAAGATGTTGGATCTGTGGTGCCCACATAGGAGGCTCATCAGGAATGTGAAGGACATGTGCCATCTGTACCTCATCCTGAAGAGCAGTAAGAGAGCCAATAATATGAGCATATTCTTGATGAATCAGAATGGAGCCACCTAAGGAGCCTGAACTGCCAGATGTATGAGATGTAGGGGAGGACAGCGACATAGGAGAAGGTGGTGATGGGGTCCTAATAATACCATCCTCTGAGATAGAGGAGCCAAGCTCTCCTTCTGCTATGATATGCTCAACCCAGGCATTTGCAACATTTAAAGTACTAGTATCTATTTGATTGAGTAAGTCTTGATGGTGAGACTGGTGAGGCATTGGGGTGAATGGGCTGTTATTCCGTTATTATGGACTAATCTAATCTAATCTAGTTTTAAGCAGAGTTTGAATATTATGCAGGTGTGTTCCTGCCACCTGTGCTGTGCCACACAATGAGCACACCACCGCTGATGCCATCCATGATAGTAACCTGTCGTGGCACCATGCAGTTGGACCACCTCATGTTGTGCTGGCCGCTCCACCTCATATGTTTCATGTTGTGCTGGCCACTCCACTTACAGCCCATCAGGGGGACTTGGAAGCAAACATCAACTATCAGCATCTTTGTGGATACCTTGGAAGAGAACTGCACCAATGTGTGGCAATCACTGGACCTCATCCATTGCATCCACATTCTCCAAGACCCAGTGACTTGCATCCAGCGGGTCTTTCTCTCACCGTGGAACATAATACTCAATGAAATCATGTTGTACACAGTGCTGGGAGATCATGGTAAGCATGACACAGGTCTATACAAGGACATACTGACAAGCATGCATTACAGAGTCTTTACAACGCAACATGTCCGTCGAGAACAGGTTGGTGTGAAATGTGTGTGTGTGCGTCCCTGCTCTCATCACAGATTCATTGGACCTCCGTACAGATTCATTCGCACATGGACAGCTTTACACTGCGCTATCTAGAGTGCGATGTCAGTGTGACATTTGGGCACTATTTCCTTCAGAGGGTGAGGAGAAGACAATGGCAAACATAGACAACTATTATTGTAATTGATTGCTAAACAGACACAATGTCTGAAGGTGACCAGTCTGCTTGTATGTACTAGCTATGAAATATATAACCTTTGGCTTTTTTTTGTGTGCAAATGCCTCTAACCCTAACCTTACAGTGTGACTTAGAAAGTTTGAAGTGTTTGAACTGCTAAGTATTTTGAATGGAGTTTAAAATTGCATTTTTCAGCTGGTTTTCAGAACCTTTCAAAACATGTTTCAGAGTGTTTCAGAGCCTACTCTGAATACCATAAATGCAATAGTGTCCATTGTATATTTCATCCCCTCTCTCTTGAGCGATTCATAATATTCAGTTGTTGCCAGTCCGCAATTTGCTTCTGAAAATGCTGATGTGGCAGCACTGTCTTTGCCACTGAATTTGTTGCGCTTGAGAGGTATTTTGTGACTCTTGGTAGTACTGCCCTTTGCACTGCCAGTGCCTATGCTTTGATCATTGCCGAAAGCTTTGGACATTGCAACAAAGTTGAGAGCACATTCAAGCTATGAAAATGAATGGTCAGTTAAAGTCAGAATATTTAAATGGGACCTACTGAGGCAGTGCATGCGGCAATTACAGCCTGCATACCCTTCAATTGTAGATCATCCATGTTGAGTGCAGGTACATCCAGGAATCTGGAAATTGTGTTGATATGAGCACTCTTGATCATTTCCAATATGAATTCAGACCAGTAAATCTGGTCTGGGTCACGAACATCCAGATCCTTATAGAGAAACACCCACTCATTGAGAAGGTCTGCTGCCAGTGTCAGTTCAAAATAAGCATTGCTGTTGTCATCTTCATTCTTGTCATCTTTGGAGGCAGCTAGAAAATTTGCAATGAGGGTGATGGCAGTCGATTCAAAATTGCTACACCAGGAGCAAATACACTGATTCATCTTTTACTGTAGATGACTTGTAGTTAGAAACAGTAACTTGACAGTAAGAATATAAATGAGACTTACCAAACCAACAATAGGGCCTTTTGGTTGGACATTGTGATTTATTCTTGGGTAAGCAGCATCAAAAATAGCCTGGAGCACTGGAAGTAGTTTCTCGGTCTTGATGGACCAAAAATTAGGCTGAGTGCCTGCCCACAGAAACACAGTGGAGATAAAAGACCTTCACCACATGCCATCTTCTAACATAGCTGGGGGAAGATTGGTGTTCCACCATCGGTTTCCACTTTTCAGCTTTATCATCATGTCAGCCGACATCAAATTAGGCTCAGATGATGCTGGAGTACTTGGAATCTGGGAGGCTGGTTCTAACTTGGCTTTCTTGGGTGGCTTCATGTTCTTGCAGACTGTTATGCTAGTCTATCGAGCGCCTCGGTATCAGTAAAATTAGATATTAAATGTGAAGAAAAAAGTGTACCTTTGAAGTGACCCATTGTAGAAAATATTATACAGTGAGGTGCGAACAAGGCTCCTGACTGTATCTATAAATGTTGTAAGGTTGCGCATTGCCTCGTCTGCTATACTTGAGATGGCAAGTGCATTCAACCCTAAAGGGGAAGTGAGTGCAGCAAGGATCTAGAGGTATGCGCTGAAAGTGCTACTGGTTGGCCAATGTGAAGTGCGAGAAAGCACAGGTGCACGCAAGGCATGAAGGCGTGGGAATGTGCGCATGTGCTGCATGGAGCGTGGGAAAGTGCATGTGTGTATGTGGAAATGAGAGAGTGTAAGAGTGAGTTTGCTTAAGTGATGATTAGATACTAGACAAGAGATGAGAGACGTGTGGTGTAAACAAATAGATTTCTACTGTGACTTTCTAGGTAGTAAGTGGTTAGCCAAAAACTAGTAAGTTGGTAAGTGAAAAGTTTGTTCCTCCTAGTATGTACTGCTGGCACTTATATATGGTGCCTAAGTGCTGTCATGCGGAGCTGAAGTGCTACCAATTAAGATATGTAAAGATATATATAAGGAAGGGTCCATGATAAAAATAAAGGTGGAACAATATGCAAATAAGGGAAGTGGAAATATATGCACTAGAGAGCTTAGTGGACAGTGGATGGATGCATCTGGATGGCTGGCACTATAGGGCGCTCAAGCATGCGCGCTTATACATCATGAAGCACGGGAAGTGTGCGCAGATTGCGCGGGAAAGTGCACGTGCACAAGGCGTGAGAAAGCATGTGAGTGTTGCATGTGTTGTATTCTGTGGGGACACAAGGTGCTGTTGCACAATGATCTTAGAGTCCAATATGCGTGGATGGGCATGTGTTGGACATTTGTGAAAGTCGTTGCAATGAGTCATTATTTACATGTCATTTCAATGCGCCCTGAAATGATTAGGTAATGCTACATGCTGAGTTTCAATCCATTACAAGCTGATTGATATGACGTCTTAATCCATTATCGACACCCATCAGTGCGTTTTTCGCTTTCATCAACCCTTCATCAAGTCTTTGTCAATGAAATGGCCCCCGATCGTACCAGGCTCTGTGAACTATGCTCCCAGGACATCAAACCCCGAGGATGGACCACTCACCGGAAGGCATGTGAGGTGATAGCGGAAAAGAAATGTCGAGATCAGTTTATTGTAGATGCTATTAGGCAGGAGAAGGGTATGTCAACCTTGTGTTATAATGTCAACACTGAAGATCTGTTATCCAGCAACAAATTCAGCACTCGGTTCTGAGTTAGACAGATGGCGTCTAAATCAGAATCAGCCGCCAATACCTGGACCAAGCGAAAGGACCATCAATGTTGACCACCACGTCGACTTCGCACATGATGTTGGTGAGTCAATATCATAACTTGAATCATCAATACTATTGACATTGAAATTATATAGATTATCCAGTACATGAGCCCGAACCTGCGCACACATTTTCACGCAATGATATCAAGATGGAGCATCACCCGAGTAGCAATATTGAAGCAGAAGTATATGCGTTTAATGATTTCAAATGCCATCCTGCGGTCCCTTTGGAACCCCCTTCTAATACCGAGCCTTGGCATCCATTCCATTCCCGACTTGAGTTCGAAGTTGAACTTGCCCTTGAGGCAGGTTTAAATAACGAACAAACCGACCGACTTATCAAAATATGTCATCATTGCACCGTTGGGAAGGAAAATTTCACATTCAAGAACCACAAAGACATCCATGTCAAGTGGGAAGCGGCTTCTTTTCGCATTACTAAGGTGGTATCTCATTCTGTCTTCAGAATTCAGACTGATCGTTTTCAAAGTGCAGTTTACCAAGGAAGTCATTTCGGTCCCATACGACGGCAAAACGTGGAACTTTGACCTACATTACAGGGATCTCTGGGGATTAGCTAGTGACCTACTTGGGGACCCTCACATTTTTCCACATTTCACGTTTGACGCGCAACACTTATCTAAGTTTGATGGGGAGACTTTCGTTCGCTTCGTCGACGAACCATACACTGCGCAGGATTTCTGGGATGTACAAGTATGTATTAACACTGTTTGTTAGTTGCTTGTTGTTAGAATAACATCATGTTGTGCTTTTGTAGTCACAATTACTGCCAGGCGGGAAGCCCTTGGCCTTCATACTATACACTGACAAAACGAGACTATCATCGTTTGGGACAGTGAAGGGCTATCCTGTGGTTGCACATTTAGCAAATCTGCCCACTGGTATTCGAAATGGACAAGGCACCAGTAGCGGCTACATGATAGGATGGCTACCAATTGTAGGAATTAACATTTTCTCTCATTGTTGTCAGACTGGCAGTGTACAAATAGGTAAAGGAAGATAAGGACTATGCTGGAAAGCCCAGCTGGGTAAACTTCAAAAACGCGGTCTGGCACGAGTCATTTCGAAGAATCACGTCGTCGTTAGCATCGAAATCGAGGGTGGGACAATGGTTCACTTGCATGGATGGCGTTGAATGCTGGTTTTTCCTCATTGTGCTTATTTTGTCTACTGACTATGAGGAGCAGTGAGTACTGACTGTATCCCTGATTTTTGCTAACAATGATCTACAGGTGTGTGATGTCGCTAACACGAGGAGTCATGAGCCTATGGCCATGTCCCATATGTCTTGTCCCTCGAGATGCGCTCAGTGATACCTCAAAGACATACATGCGCCGGACTGCAGATGATTCACGTGCTGCAGTAACAACTGCACGAGCAAAAGATACCATAAAAGAGCCAGAGGAGGTTCTAAAAGTACTAGGACTACGTAACATCGAGGTGTGATCTCATTTCTGCTTGAAACACGCTAAAATTTACGATTGTTAGAATGCACTATGGGCCATACAATACTCGGACGTCCATAGGGCGTTGTCGCATGACCGATGCCACTTTAATCATGGCGGGCTTTGGTCACATCACTATTGGGTTGAACTGCAGAAATACATAGCAAGACTCGGACGAGCAAAAGTATCACAAGTTGATAAGGCGTGCATCTGTTTTTTTGGCGATGTAATGTGTTATTTCTATCTGATTCAAATCATCGTTTATATTAGATATCAAGCATTCCCTCACTGGCAGGATCTACGGCACCCAAACCAAGTGATGAATGTTTCGTTTGCGGACAGTGCCATGCATGAAGATATTTCAAAGGTTCGTTGTGACTTCAATATGTTTGTTCAGTAAATTCAATGTATTTGCAGATGATCATCTATGCTACACATAACATCCTGACGGAGGACAAATCACCACTTGGATACCTTTTGCTCCGATGTGTGCGACTTTACCTTGAAGCCGATATATATGCCGCATTTGAAGTTCACACAACTGCAACAATCAGCGCAGGGAGAGGTGCTGTCCAGGCCCTGATGGCACTTATGAAGGTGCATTCAATTTTTCTAGCAACTATGTGTTAGATATATGTAGACTAACGTCATAGTAGCAATATATCATTAAAACTGAGGATGACGACGAATCAGACAAGGATTGGAATTTTCTGAAGTTGCACATGTTGACGCACTTATTTGACGACATCGAGGCCAAAGGAGCTTCAAGGAATTACAATACAAAGCCAAACAAGCAGATGTACGGACCGTTGAAGGACTGGTACCAGGAACGAACTAACTTTAAAGATTTTGCAGAACAGGTGAGGCAGCTACCTATCATTAAAGTCTTACTTTTCCTGACTGGTCCTATACTACAATCATAGATCCTTCGAATAGATCACTGGTTTCATGTTGCAGATGATATTCGTCGTCATCTCTTGGACTTAGATGACCATCTAATGTTCACATCACAAGGCCAAGCAAACGATGATGATGACAAAGATGAAGATGAAGATGCTCAGCGCCCTGCGAGTGACTTCCTCCCTGGTTTGAACATCGATGGGTCTCTGCATGTGAAACTCGGTTCCAGCCAGGCTCCACAGACATTTGCTCTCATTGAGGATACTCACCAGAACGATGACACATTCACCAACTTCTGTGTCAAGCTCAACTCATTTCTAAATGACTTTCTCCCTGCCTGCAACATACCCCTTCCAGATGGAAAGAGAATTCACCTCAAATCAGATGTTGCAGTAAGTTTTCATTTTATTAGCTTATTACCATGCTGATTATGATGCAAATGAGGTTACTGCACATCAATTTCTGCGAGTGAACTTCGAGTCCCTCATAGATTGGCGGCAACACACGGACTACTTGCGGTGCAACCCATGCTTCTATAATGCACCCTGCTTCGATTGTGTCTTCATTCAGACCTGTGCGAATGTCATCATTGGATGTCTGCTCTTCCTTTTTGATTGCCCAGTTGGAGAGGATCTGTTTCCGCTTGCTCTTGTCCATCCATTCGATGCTCGCACAGGTACGTGACTTCGAAAGGATAGACAGCTCAATCTTTTCAGGGTTCGAGCAAAACCATGAGCACAAGCCGAATTTTTCTCGGTCAGGTCGATCATTCGCGGGGCACTTCTAGTGCATGATGCCAGCCTTGATTACCTTGTCGTTGACACGGTTGATACCGACATGTTCCTCCGGGTGAAGGAAATGCATTTGCAGGCTGGACATGTAGTTCACATTTGATTGGTGAGTACTAATAATATGACATATCTTCAACGAGTCTGATTTGACAGCTAGCAGGCCGAGTCATTACATCATGCTAACTCATCCCTGCGAACACCCTTGGACTCATCTCCATCTACTTCTCATCTACAACCTCCAAACCTCCAAACCACCACCCATTCCCTCCCACAGCAACATCTCCACACAAGGCTCACCTCGCACTCGTGTTCCCATATCTCTGGATTGACGTCCAGCAGCAATATCAGACCCAGAAGACTCCTCACAGCGCCTCAAGATATCTACATCACCGCACCCCCACCATCACATAAAGCAGACCCAGCAAGTTAAACTAGTTCATCCCTACCGCACAACCCCACCACTTTCCATTCGACCCGCCAGCAAACCGTCAATTGTTCGACCACAGGAAGGATGATCCTGTAAGGTTCGCAGTCTTGTTTCTAGCCCATCCATCATCAACTGGTGGCTGGCCTACACCTACACCTAAATCATCAGGAGATAATGTGCGTTCTCGACTTCCTCATACGCTCATTCATTGACATTGAGCTTCACCCTTTCTTCTGGAATGGCAGACAACTCATCTGCATCGTCCGCATTATTTGATAGCAATCTGGCCTCACGAGGTTAGCGCCGACGAAGACCTCCAGCAACAAAAATGGACGAAGCTGATCTCAGATCATAAACAGTAAGTGATTCTCCAGCAAGATGCTGCATAATCTGATGGAGATCTCCCTCGCATCAAGTGTTCCAGCATCCCTCTGGATAATCCCAAGCAATACCATCATACACTGTGCTCTGGACACATGCATTCCACAAACTCCTGGAGGTCTTGAGGTGTGCCTCGTTTTCCTCGCCCCTCACTCTTGAACACCTCCAAGACTTTATATATTATGCCTACACCTTCTATACCGGCGTTCTTGAGGAGCCAACTCTGCATTCATTCCAATCTGGCTGGCTCGAGGCTCTAGGCGATGTTGCACGCTATCGCATGGCTGTGGCACATTGATCATTGATAATAGTTGGACACAGTATGTATTGTACTAGTATGAATATGTCTTTATTAACGCTGGTTGTGTGTATCAGGGTTTGATCACGACTGCGGACATGTAAAGCTGCTGGAGGTGTTATTATGTCGGACATCAGGGTAGGCATCACAAGCATCATTTAAAGTGCCATGGGCAACTAACAATCTTGTGTCATTGTGTTACCCTCCAACAGAATCATCATTTGAACTCTTCTGAAGACATGTCACACGTTACTATGAGTACTACGCACCTGTCAGACACAGAAAGTGACTTTGATGTTCTGGGTGGCGATCCAGAACATATTTCTATACCTGGCCCCAGTGCGTCTAAAGGGGAACTCTTGGAGGTAAGAAATCTTCAATCTGTCCAAGTATTTACTGACCCGATTTGCTTCAGACTCTCAAAGCGCTGCAAGTCCAAATGCAGCGGCTTCAAGCAGAGAACAAGAGTATCAAAGAGGAGAATAAGACACTGCACGCTGACAAGCCCAAATGGAAGCGATGTGCCGATACACAGCATGAGTTTAGCGTCCACGAGGACACCATTACCATATATGCCCACAAGTATGACATGATGGTTGAAATGTTTCCTAGCAGTGAACTCCTCAACAAGAAACGTCCAGCATCCCCGACTGCTTTCGATAGCTCCGAACGATATGTGACTGCAGCCATGGAGGAATCTGCATTCTTAGACGAACTTTATCGTCACTTCCCTGAATCACTCCACAAAGTCATGGAAAGCTCTTACTTTAGTGATCTGGTATGTCGAGTTTTCATGTGTTCACTTGCTATATCACTGACACAATAACATTTCTTATTGTAGGTACTGAAAAGTATTCCCAACGCCTGTGCTAACGAAATCAAAAAGCTTCATGGCGTCACTGGTGATATCTTTGGCCTTCCTGCAAAATATTTCACCAATCCTCAATACGACAGAGCGTCTGTCCCCGAAATCCGACAGCTACTTGGCATTACATCCACTTCAAATGTGGTCTACAAAACTTTTCCCCCAGTGTTATTTCCGAAGTTGATAGAAGACAAGTCGCTTAAGACCATGTTTGGAAATTGGGAGCTATTGGCTCGAGTGCGTCTATTACTACTGTTAAGGTGTTGATTATCTGACATTTTTCGGTGATGGCACTACTATCTAGATTTTGAAAGCTTCATTGTGTGGAGTTGCCTCGCTCCATCAAGAGTCGAGTGGTGGCGGCGCCCATACTAACTCTCTCAAATGGAGTGTCCACCAAATCATGCCAGGGTCAATAGTGTGGGCGGCAGTCATCGTAAGGCAACATTTTATTAATTACATGTTTTTCGAGTCCTCTGAGATGTATCATTGCAGGTAATCTTTTTACTGTCACCAGACACCGAATTTTCGAGCAGCGGCACTGGGAAGAAATCCAACATCTGTTACTGGAATCTGTTCCACCTCTACAAGAAAGTCCTTGTAACTAAGTGGGCTACGAAGTGCATTGCTACCATTGTCACCAGCATCAATCATTACATTTTCAAGGCTGCAAAAGCTTCAGCCTTCGATTCTGCTGAACAAGATGATCACGCAGATGCAATCAATCGCGCACTTGCAGTGCTCGATATGGACAGTGATTCTGAATCAGACGCCGAGTTGCACAATCCTGTCGAGGACCCCAACCTTACTGAACCTGATGCTACCACCAGTACCAAAGCAGGAGATTCAGAGCTCCAGGATTCACATGTTTCTGACCCGGATATTTTAGGAGGTGAAAATATACAGGATGTTGAAGGGTCAATCAGCAACAGTGGATGAGGGCGGGGAAAAACGAGAGGGAGGAAGGCAGCAGCTTCTGGAGGCACAGTTTGTTGAGGATGGTCTCGCAAATAGTCAGTAATATTTCTTTACATTGTCGCTACATACTCTGGTCACATTGATGGCAGTCCTGTGTTTGCAATGGATATCAAATATTATTAATGCTTGCTGGCAATCTTTGAATCAAAATTAATACATTAAAATAATTCAATCGGAGTTTAAATGCAAACATTCAGACTTTATGACTAAATTTCAAGTCATTCAAACCCTCATTTGGTAGAGACCACAGCCAGTCACAATGTATCAACTTTCATTTTAGCATCTACATTATATCTAATTGTTACAGCCGTCATCTCTCTCGCCTTCGAGGAATGAGTCTCATAGAAGACATTCGGGGTCAGTTCTCAAGATATTTGGCAAAGCGACCAAGCGCTTTGCTCGAAGCGCTTGACAATCCCCAAACCCTGAACCCACGGCTGTAAGTTCCAGCCTGCAGAACACCCAACCTGTTCAGTCAACTAAGGTAAGTGTAATCTAAACTCTAAATGTGCCCTGACATCATGTACCATGATTGGTACTCATCGCTTCTGCAGGATCTCACCCCTCCCACTCTCGAACCAAATTTTGGGCAGCCTTCCAATTCAGGGATCGTAGAAGGAAGTTCTACTAACGAAGTTCAGAATATTCTCATCCGTCTCTTTCGACAATGTGCTGACATCTATCCTTAGGCTGAACATCTCGACCCGAAGGTTGTGCACAATAGAATCGCCAATGCTAACAAAAGTCTCGCAGACGCTGGCCACTTCCCAACAATACTCCAAGATGCTTCTTCTGCGACCAATGACCTACCATCTTTTTCTGATACAATTGATATGTTCTCCGTGTTGCTCAAACCCTTGAAGGCATTCAACTCCATCGCCAATGCGATTGCAGATGTACAAAACATGCATCTCTCTCCTGTACATGACTAACATTCGTGCACAGGTCCATCCCTATGCGAAGGTGGCGCTGAGCATCTTCACTTGCGCTTCCAAGGTACTTAGGACTCTTACTCAATCATTACCGTTGCAGGTTGACAAAGTTTCGGCAACAGATGATTCTCAATCAGGCACACCGTGATGACGCTGTTTCCCTTCTGCTCTCAAAGATATCTGAAGTCTATACTTTCATCACGGAGGAGGAGGAATTGGCCAAGATCTACTAGCCAATCCAACACCTCTCCGCCCAATCGACAACTCGTTAAAGTGCGCTGGGTGTTCTGAATGGACTTCGTGCAATGTTTAATTAGTTTTCGGTCTCATTCTCGTGGTATATAGAATTTCTACTAGGGTATAATAATTACTGTAACTATTAGTAATTGTAAAATGTATAGTAATAATTTAATTATATGCCCAATGAAATGAATGATACCTGCCTCACAATAAAATTTCCAAGATTGCATCCTCATTTCAAAGCTGTGTGTATACATCAAAATTTACTTCGCAATGTCGTTGCAAAGACCATTGCAATGACAGTGGTGGCTATTGAGCATGTGATGTAATGATGATGACAATGACTCGCTCCAATTGCAACCATCATTTAAATGACGACTCTATTATAGCAAGCTATTTAAATACTCGTTCTACGTTTGGGCATTGAAACCCATTGTCGGGCCTTGAAATATGAATTAGGAAGTTCTGACATGATGCAAGGTGGCACAGTTCAAGAGTGATCCAATCCATGTCCAAACCAAGTGCTGCTAGGTGCGCTAAATATTAGGTGCTAAAGGTTTGAATAGCATGAGTAAAACTATATGTGAAAATATGAAAGGAAAATAGTAAACTTTGTGGATGTCCTATCCAACTTGTCTTCTTTGTGCGGCTGTTGACATCTACACCTTCCTATGAGCAAGGCACATGAGGTGGGAAGACTGCGCGCCTATGTGCACATTCTAAGGTAAAAGGAGCATGGTGCCATGTCATGTGTGTGAAGAGAAAATAATATCCTATTGAGCTAGGTGGGCACAATCTAAGGTTGTTTTGTTGTTTTTCTTCTATGTTTTTCTAGGCAATTCCTATATGCATATATATCAGTGTGTTATTAGTCCTTTGGATGGTGTTATAATGAGAGAAAATAAAAATGAAAGAGTGCTGGATGAAACTCAGGGTAAAATGAACAGTATCCTATGAAACAGTGTTGTTATGTGTTTTTATTTGATGTGTGGCTGAAGTGCTCGAAGCGTATGGTGTATGTGGTGTAGGCGAGGGTCAGAAGGTGCAAGGCTGGCGTGCTTGGGGTGCTTGGTTCCTCTTTGTCAAGCCTCTTTGATTGTGACTCCGAGGGGGGCTAGTAACCAGCAGAATGAATTCCTTCACAACGCGCTGCAGGTTAAAAGTGTGCCAATGGGAGGCCCTGTGAGGGGTGTAGAAGTGCTCTACAAGCTGATAGGATGCGCGCAATGTGCACGCCTTGGGGTGATTTTGCATGAATTTGATTATATTGGCTGAACATGTGAGGAATGACTGTTTCTCTGCAAATGAGTTAGTGAGAGATGTATATAGCATGGAATTAGGCGCAAATGGGCTGTAAGGGTGGTATATCAAGGCACCATAGGCGCATAGGCGAAAAAGAATAGTGCACGTCAGAGCATGCAGGAACGAAATTGACCTGGTAAGCAAAAACATGAAGAATGTGAATAAATGTGGAAATTGTGAAGTTAAAGATGATGATAGGGGAGTTAGGCGCATATGGATGTGTCAGGCGTGCACCTAAGTCATGCCTGGATGGCTGATTGGAATATGCTTCATGTTGAATGGCAAAAATGAGATTTAAAAGGGGAGAAGCAATAGAAATGCGATAGTGTGGAAACTCTGCTAATATTATGAATACACGAGGCGCAGGAATTATTGCATGATGTGCACGATCATGGTGGATGAACAAGGGGTAGTGCGAAGATGAAATCAAAGTGTTTGGAATTGTCATATAACTCCTTAAGAGCTTTAAACATGAAAAAGACAAAAAAACACGAAATGAGATGAGGGTAAATATACAATGCCTCTAGGTGCACACATTGCACGTCCTCAGGTGCAATATGGTGCGCCTGTGTTACCCCAGGGTCGCCTGAGACATACTCTGCTTGGTGGTTGGGCAGCACGATGCACAGATGCTTTACTGGCATGCAATAGTCACTGGAAGCAAAAAGTATGACATGTGCGTGATTGTTAGTGACAGATAAAATTACCAGAGACAAACTCTGGTCAATGCAAAGTGTGACTTGAGCCTCAGATGGCAGCAGAAGGCTCCTCTATAGGCACGCTAAGGTCCAATAGATGTTTAGGGTCATCCCTGACCTCTGATGATGTGAGCAGTGATAGTGGTGATGGCAATGGTGTGATTGGCAAGATTTCTTCCTTAAGCGATGCAATGGTGATAGGCAAGTGTATTTCAAGTGATGGCATAGTAACTTTCATAATGGGCGCATTATTGTGCAATAGATGTTTAGAGTCATCCCTGACTGTTGGTGAGGTGATAGTGATAGGCTCGCATATTTCAAGCAGTGCATTAGTGTGCAATAGATATTTAGAGTCATCTCTGACTATGGGCGATGTGATTGATGCTGATGATGATGCAGATTGTGAAGGAGATGGTGTTGATGATGAAGGTGAAGAGGTGCCTGTGGTGCACTTCTGGATGCGCTTGAGTTTGTGATCTAAATGATGCATTCTGGTATGGCTTTGCATGCTGGTACAGTTGATGGTTCAGGGGCGCATGAGTCGTGCGAAGGTATGGGAAAAGCGCGCGTGCACAAGGCACAAGAATCGGAACTGGTGGCCTTTTGTCAAGCACAACATCTGCGGATGTGCAATAGAAGAGTCCAGCTGCCACACTAGCACTAGCGGTCATATCCTGGGTTGCTCGGCTCATGTGATAGCAATCTTTGCACTTAGCCACTATAGCTTGCACCAGTGCTTGCACTGGCATGGTCACTGTGACTAAGTTTGCAAATGGCACTATCACAGGCGTGCTAACTGGCACGCTTGGCACAGGAAAAGTGCGCTGTAGAAACTACAATACAGAGAGGAACAAATGATGCTCCTGACTGTATCTATAAATGTTGATGGTTGTGCGTTTGCCTAGTCTGCTATGCTTGAGATGACAAGCACGTTCGACCCTAAAGGGGAAGTGAGTGCAGCAAGGATCTAGAGGTGTGCACCAAAGCGAAGCGCAGGTGTGCGCAAGGCGCGGGAATGCGCGCGTGTATTGCGCGAAGCGCGGGAAAGTGCGCGCACATATGCGGAAATAAGAGAGACTAAACTTAAGTGATGATATGATACAAGGTAAGAGAAGAGTGATCCGAAGTGTAAACAAATAGATTTCTACTATATTCTGCTAAGTGGTAATTGAGTAGTAAGTAGTCAGTTGAAGGAAAAGTAAGGTAAAAAGTGTAAAGTGAGTAGTACTATGTACTGCTGGCGCTTATATAGCGCGCCTAAGCGCGGTCATGCAGAGCCGAAGCACTACCAAGTAGGTATGTAAGATATATATGGGTGAGAGTCCATGATAAAAATAAAGATGGAACAATATGCAGATGAGAGAAATAGAAATATACGCACTAGAGAACATGGTGGACAGTGGATGGATGCCTCTGGATGGCTGGTGCTATAGGGCGCTCAAGCGCAGGAACGCGCGCGCGCGTATACATTGTGAAGCGCAGGAATGGTGCGTGCGTGGCGCGTGTTGTGCAGGAAAGCTGCGCCTCATATAGAGATAGCTGCGGGTAGCGCATGGAGTGACGCTACAAGTTTGTGCTATGTACTCCTTAGTGAAAACTTGTCATATCAGACCATGAGACACATGAGTCTCTACAGCGCACAGGTAATAGGAACTGCGCAGCTGCAAAGACGTCCATAAATGGGTATGGGTTGTATGGATGGTGGTCAGGGAACTTGATCATAAGGTGCAAGCAAATTTGCGCCTGAGTATCTCTAGGGATTCCTTCCATGAATAAGCAGTCATGTTCAGCCTTTCCAATTTGGTCTTCATCTATAAGTGGCTGCATAATCTTCCTGAATATGTGCAAGTAATTGCTTAGTTCCATGTAAGAGGGCATTGGCTTGTTAGCATATTCGTGTGTGATGGCTTGTAGATCCACAAGCACATAGCGTCTTTTACCATCCCATCCAGGATACATTACCTTAACTTCTGCCATGAATGCATTATAGTCACTTACTGCCACTTCAGGCATACCTCCCCATAGTTCTCGATCATTGCGTTCAAGGTAGCAAATAATACCTTTGATGTGGTCGAGTCCTTGGAGTCCTGCTTCATCAGCGAGCTGCTCATATGCATCAATGAATTCGGCAAGGTTGTCTGTAGTGCCATCAAACTTGGGCACATTTGCTGTGCCATGGGTGGGCATTCTATAAGGCATTGAGGCACGGGAGAGGTGTGCGTGTGAGGTGCAGAGGTGTGGGAATTATTGCGCGTGCGCGCAAGGTGCAGGAATGTGTGACTAAAAATGATTAGCTTGTGATAATGCAAAGAGATTGATCTATATGTGTTAAATGGCATGAAGTGCAAAGATGCGCAGAACTAGATCTTGCTGACTGTTCCTTTTGCAGTGGGCTCCAGTTGAAGGTGAGGAATCTTGATTAAGGGTGAAAACACTAAAAACTAAAGGGGACTCTACAGCAAGACCTGGACACAAGAATACGACTTGACCCAAAGAACAGCTACTGAGAGAAGTTCCTCTGTAATAATTGGAGGGAAACTTAGTCAACTAGGTGAGCACAAGAAGATAACACGCGCGAAGGTGTGCATAAGCAATGTGAAGGTGTGCGTGAGGTGCACGTGAGCAGGAGGTGCGAAGGGTGCACAATGATAGGTGAAGGCGCGCTTTAAGCGATAAGGGAGAGAGACTCCAGGAGAGATAGCCAGGCACAAGTGTTAATCAAGAGAAGAGTAAGATCAAATCCCTAGTACTTAGGTAGGTTTGTACACTTTGCAGTATACTGAGATAAGGAGAAAGTAGGAACCCCCTTCCTAAGGAACCCTCCCTTCTTTTAAGAAGGGGAATTGTGTTTGGGAATTATGCTATGTCAGACCCTTCAGTCACTTCTACTGTAGAACCCTGTCATAGGACGTATACATTGACCTGCAAAACCTGGACTACCAGACGCCGGCCAGTCCATGTAAAACCAGGCTCGGCCGATGCTGTAGAACCCTAGCAGGCCAATGCCTCACATAAAAATATATCAGAGGTATAGGAAGGGGCCGGCCGGCCAGGTTGATGTTAGCAGAATGGGCCAGCCCTGATGTGCAGTGTGTATGAGGGGGCCAGCCGACATATGTCTGCCAAATGGTGCATTAGGCCTGCCTGCCTCTGCATTATGTGAAAGGGGGCTGGCTGGCTACAAATTGAATTTCAGCTGAATGGGCCAGCCCTGATGTGCAGTGTGTAAGAGGGGGCCGGCCGACATACCTCTCCCAAATGGTGCATTCAGCCTACCTATCTCTGCAATATGTGAAAGGGGGCCGGCCAGCTACAAATTGAATTTTAGCTGAATGGGCCAGCCCTGATGTGCAGTGTGTAGGAGGGGACCGGCCAACATACTTGTGCCAAATGGTGCATTAGGCCTGCCTGCCTCTGCATTATGTGAATGGGGGCCTGCTGGCTACAAATTGAATTTCAGCTGAATGGGCCAGTCCTGATGTGCAGTGTGTAAGAGGGGGCCGGCTGACATACTTGTGCCAAATGATGCATTAGGCCTGCCTACCTCTGGGTTATATGGAAGGGGGCAGACCAGCTGCAGATTAAATTTCACCTTTGTGAGCCATATGGGCCAACCTGTATATGCAGTATGAAGAAGGGGGATAGCTAGCATACTGCTACCATGATGGCCTGCCTGCCTCTAAGGTAGGTAGAAAGTGCACTCAACCTCACTTCAAAGCTGCAGTTGATGTAGCATTTGAGTAAGCTGTCCAGAAAAAATTGCAGCTTTCTGGTGCCATTTTGGTTTATCCGAGTTTGTGGCTGGCCACTTTATACAGACTGCACTACAGTCTGCAACAGCAGGCTGGCCCATGTGACCAGCTATCCACCTCATACACACTGCACAGCCTGTCCAGCAGACTAGGGTATAATCACAGCCAGAATGGCTGGCCCAGCATATCAGGCTGCAATATAAGCAATACAACTATTACAATATTAAAAAAATCAAACTGTGGTTAATGTGGCATTCAAGTAAGCAGTCCAGAAAGATTCAAAGTGAGGAACATTAAGGCTTAAAAGTAGCCACAATCATGTACCAAACTTGTTTTGGTGCATGTCACTGCCTAGCAAGCTGGAGTATAGGTGAAAGTCAGGTCGGCCGGCCCAGTATTACATACTGCACAGCTCGTCTGGACAGCTTGGGTATAGAAAACAGCCAGGCTGGCCAACCCAGTATTACAGGGTGCAACAATAGGCTGGCCCAGCCAGACTTGGCTAGGGTATTGGTGAAAGTCATGTGGGCCGGCCCAGTATTACCCATTGCACAGCTTGTCCAGCCTGCTGGAGTATAGGACACAACCAGGCCGGCCAGCCCAGTATTACAGGATGCAACAACAGGCTGGTCTATGCTGGAATCTCACAATCAGTCTCCTTTAGTAGAGTAAGTCTAATTATCTACTGTTTAAGCCTCACTCATTTCAGATGCTCACCTTCTATATCTATAAGTGAGAGAAAGTGAATTGTTTCTGTTGCACAACAGAAACGATTCACTTTCTCTCACTTATAGAGATAGAAAAAAACAGGCTGGTGGAGCCTGTGTAGTTCACCTTCTATATCTATAAGTGAGAGAAAGTGGATCATTTCTGTTGCTAGCACATCATTGCCATGAAAATAATATACAAGCAACAGAAATGATCCACTTTCTCTCACTTATAGATATAGAAGGTGAGCATCTGAAATGAGTATCATGAAAATGATGTGCTCACTACAGAAACCATTCATTTTCTTTCACTCATAGACATAGAAGGTGTTGCACCCTGTAATACTGGGCTGGCCGGCCTGGCTGTGTTCTATACCCAAGCTGGCCGGACAGGTTGTGCAGTATGTAATACTGGGCCGGCCAACTTGGCTTGTCACCTATACCACACCCAAGTCTGATAAGATTAGCAAAGTCTGGCTGGGCCAGCCTGTTGTTACACTCTGTAACACTGGGTTGGCTGGTCTGGCTGTGTCCTATACAATAGCTAGCCTGACATATTGTACAGTATGTAATACTGGTCTGGCCGGCCTAGTTGCCACCTACACCCCAGCTTGCTGGACTGTGTTATGTACCAGACTTGTTTTGTGCATGGTCATGGCTACTTTTAAGCTGGACTGCTTACATGAATGCTACATCAACCACAGCTTGATCATGCCAACATTGCAATAGTTTTGTTGCTTATATTGCAGCCTGATGTGCTAAGCCAGTATTCCTCAGTCAGCCGGATAGTCTGTGCAGTCTGTATGAGGTGGACGGCCGGTCACTGTTGCAGCCTGTAATATAAGGCTGGCTGCACAACATCATGGGCTGGCCTACTATTACAATATTTGGGCGAGGACACCTAACCTCATCTGGTATGTTTAGAAGTCAAGTAATTACATTATGAAGCCATCTTTAATATCAACTTGTCATGCTCCATTTTCCTTAAAAACTCTTCATACCCTCAGCTACAAACTCAGCCCACATGGAAGCCTGCTTTTTAGTATATGCCCTATGCCCATTCTTGATGCTTTCATCTGCCCTTGCTCTCCACTCCAACTCCTGCTTCTGAAACCACCATACTGTCCAACACATTTCATGCTGTACCAACTTCAGCTCTTCACTCCAACGGTCATATCGTACTTTTGCTTTCAACCAATTGACTCGATAAACTAGGAATGGGGAACGTAAGCTCAGTACCTTTATAAAAATTAGATAAGATTAAAACTCACATTCATTCATCCACTCGCTCTTCTGGTTGTCCTCTGCACTGTTGATTCTCCAAAACCAAGCTAGCCCTGACCATGCCTATTTTCCTTAGTGATTTCTTTGCTTACTGTAAGGTCCTCAGCCTTTAGGGCTTGATAAGATGACATTGTATCAGAATCAGCCCCTAATCGTTGCATTGCTGCCCTTGATCGGCAATATTCTCGAGTATGTTTGTTGATGGCCAAGGTGATTTTTCGAAGTTCCTTTGTTGATCTAGTACCCTGATGATGGATTGATTTGTTGGAATGTAATTTCTCTCGAAACACCACAGATCTGTCACTGAGAGCTTGATGAAGCTTTTCCAGGCAGTCATTTGCTTGACCCTTTCGAAGCTTCAGTTCTTCTTGACGTAATTGTTACAATAACATTGCCGGACCTAAGCCTAGGTCCTGACTGACAGCGGCCTAGAACCGCTATGACTCCCAGAGGCCCGGTAGGCCTCCCGATCCCATTATAACGGCTGTGCGCCTCATGTAGAACTAGACCAACACATGCTATCCCATGTGTTGATGGACCTTTAGGCCGGAGCGCCTCATGTATGTATCTTGATATAGAAGAGGCGCCTCATGCATCTTATCAGACAAGCAAGGCTTACCTCACCTCATCTTATCTCTGACTCGGATAGATTCACGATACAGGCTCCTACCGAACCTTATAGCATACACCTATATAACCTAGACAGATATCATTGTATTCCCTAGAAACTAGTACAATCACAGTACTTGTTCATCCTTTCAGAGTGACCCCTGTCCCTCTGTCTTGACCACACTTCTAAGGCAAGCCGATGCTACCTTAGCCGTATATCCGTTAGCCCTACAGCTTGACAAGCCGCTGCGCTTACCAAGCTCATCAGAGGATCCCTTGGGCTTCATCCAAGGCTAGACCACTGTCCTTCCATCTTCGCGTGACCGCTTAGAGACCTGCCATTCGGCATCGGAAGGCTCGACATATCCAAGTCGTAACAGTAATGGCATGACAACATCATTCATGATCGGATCAGATGTTCCCCATGATGGCATCCAAAGTTCAGCAACCTCTGCAGGTGAGTCAGCATCATCTCCGATGTCCAAAATACTGTCTTCCCCCAGCTCTTCAATTCATGAAGAATTAGATCCATCAGCCTCCTCCAGGCACAGTTCAGGGTCATCTTGGTGCAATCCTGCTCCCCCTTCCAATTCCATCCCATTTGTCATAACCAATGTAGTCTCATGGAACTTATTAATGTGAGACAAGAGTTTCTACCTTTTTTCTTCTATCAGAGTTCTCTGAGAAGCAGTTGGATCCTCTGGCAGTTGTCTTATAGAAGAACGTAGGCCATCTCTAATAACCCAATTTGAGTCAATCACACCTCAAATATTGAACACCTTACTGAGCATTTTCTATGTTGATACCCTCGATCAACCATGAAACAGCCCCAGTCCTACCATTGGTGGACACTTCATTTTCAGTCAACCTTAGCCTTATTTCAGCCATAGTTGGAGCTTTTGATGATTCATAATCAGGTCCAATCAAAGTTGAATTTTACCGAACCTACCTTTATCCATTGTAAGCTGATAGATGTCAAGAAGCTCACCTCAGTGAAGAGCTGCTAGTTTAGCTTCCTTCTTCCATTTCTGGATATTGGCCCGATCAAGAGACTTCGTCAATTCTTCGTACGGACCCTGAGTGTCTTTAATGCCCTGTATGGCTTGATGATACTTTTTAAGTAATAATTTGACTTTTGAAGTGTTCCATTAGTCAAAGTTGACATCTCGGAAATAAAGGGGACTTGCCAATTCTGACAAGCTTCTTCCAATTAGAATCCCTCATATGGTCATCCAAGACTTCCTGTCTGTGAGAGAGAGTCATGGACCTTGCAGTTGGAGAAATCTTGTTAAACAAGGCCCAGAGGGTCTCCAAGATTTCCCCATCAATATGACCAGCTCCTGTAATAAAATTGAGGCCGAATCTGGGAAAGCACAGTAGCTTATGAGTGCTTAGATGAAACTTGCCGATCACTGGCAATATTTTGATTGATTGAGGAAGAGACAGGTGATAGCTTTGATTCACCTGTTCATGGAAGTGGATACTCCACTGGCATGCAACATCATAGATTATGAGTGCACTGCCAATATCTTCTGATGGATATTTCAATGTGTTGCAGATGGAATAGTCCATGTTCATTTGCCTGACTACATAGTCAGCCCAATGTTGTAGTACAACAATGCAACCAACATACCTCTCTCCCTTTTGGAAGTCAACTACTGCATGGGGAACAAAACATCCATGCCTAGCACATGCAGTTGCCCCAACTCCTGTAGCTCTTAGGTTGCTTCTCTGGACATTGGCTACATTCACAGCACAGTGATAGCTGCAAGATGATTTCTGAAATTATATTAGACATCATTTCTAATGAAACATGTCATGAAATATAACAACTCGCCTCTTTCTCTTCCACAGATTCTATTATGTGAGTTTCATAAGGTCCTTCTGTTACCATGTATCCCTTTCCATCTGCTAGTGAAACATCATCTTCTGGAGTCTTCATCTTCATATGCTGAGCTGTAAAATTTCCATTGACAATGTATCTTTGCATGACCAACCAACTGCAGACCACAAAAATTAGCTCAGTGGGCAGTTGTTGATAAACCAACTTACCTGTCATAGGTATCCTTCCAAGAAGAAGGTAAGTTGATGCCAGGCTGGGGACATGCTGGACAATAAAGAGCTAAATCCCCTGGACCAGGAGATCTGTCCGACTCGTGTGCAAAGCCAAACCTTATTCTATTGACCAAATCCCTCCATATACGAGACACCCACACAAGTTCACGGTAGCGATCCTTTTTATTATGTAAGCATGGGGTACAATGATGAAGAAATTGCTCACAAGTATTGTATGAGGGAAAGCATTGTTGGTAAAACAATATAGCTTTTGATAGAAACTCATAGCTGAGGTCTTGCACTCCAAAGTGTCTATGAGGAAGTTATCTAGCACATCAAAGGTAAAAGCAGATTGAGGCCGAGTGATGCTGGCAGGAAATAACTTTGCTTTTAGCAGATGTAGATGTCTGTCCTTCTCAGCTCCAGGACACTGACACCAGAATACACAGTGTGAGTAAACTCCAGTGGAGTGCACAATGACCAGGTTAGACAATCCCAACTGTGTTTCATAAATAGTATCCTCCTCCACATGTGCAAACACATCTTCCATGGCTCCAAGATCTGACCAGGGTGACAGGTTTGACTGCTGCAACGCATTGGGGCAAGGATGTCCCCCATGGCCAAGATGCATTATATACCCATGGTCCCATAGGGTAGTAGACTCGTAGAACTTGCCATTCCAAAGCTGAAGGTTGTGGAAGGGGTTGTTCTGGTGGGCTTTGACAGCACATGAGGAACACCAGCTGTGCTCTCCTGAGCAGGACAGACAATGAATAAAGCCCTCCTTTTGTCCGCAATCCTCACATTTCCCATTGTTGATCAGCTGTTCCAACTCCAACAACACTGAAAGATATTCATTGCGCCAAGGCAAGTATTCCCTGAGGAAATCATTTTGGGTCTGTAATGTTGGCTAGTTTTCAAGAATAATTATTTCCACAGAACTCACTTTTGTCTTTCATTGGATACTATTTAAGCCTCCTGTCCCAAAATCATCATATATCTCTCTGTCATAATTGACCAGTGAATGATCTTCAATATTCTGGTGGTGTTTTTGTTTCACCGGTGAGGTCGGCTCCACCTCACTGTCATAGTCTTCATAGACAGTATCTGCTTCTTTCTATGAAACATTTCCCCTCCAAGTTTTAGATGAGATGTATGTATATTTATAAGCACCTCTTTTTCTCTTTGTTGGCTGGGCATCATCAGAAGATGTTGCTACTCTGACCCTATTTTTCCATCTTGGTGTGATTTTTGAGGTCATTGAAATTATGGGTTTGTTCAAAGGTAACAGAGGTCAGAGCACCACATGAATTTTGGCACAGCTACATAATTATTCCATCAAAAAAATAATTATGGGAATTTCCCAATACTATCTCCTACTCCTTATTCTCTTCCGACTCTTCCCCCCTACTAGCTCTAAAAAGAAACTCTGCATCAGAAATGATGGCCTTGGCACCCCAACTCTGTCATGTACAGCATCCTTCATGAAATGGGCAATTACAACCCGTTCTCCATTAAGCCAGGGACCAATAGAATGTTCTAGCACCCGCCCTGCAATATAGACACTGCAATGTAGACCATTGCTCCAGGGGAATAATCTAGTTCTGCATGGAGGTCTGCCAAGGCCAAAGTGGCATGATGATTTCTTCCTAGACTGACCAGGAGATCAAAAAGGGATGGGGATCCACCAGCATCTCTGTGGCTAAAGGTAACACGGTTAGCAATAATTTCAAGCCCTGAAAAGATCGAGGGCCAAGAGTCCACTGGAGCAGGGTTCTTTGGGTTCTTTTTGATCCATGACAGACTTCTTTGATGGCCTGAGAAAATGCAGAGTTGCCAGCTTGAAAAGATCCGGAGCCACAACTCCGGTAATGGCATTCCATAGAACTTCTTATGTTGTCAAGGCAGCTAACCATTGTTGGACCTTCTCTGATTTGTAAGACTCTGAGGTCACCAATGGATCCACTCGTCGCTAAGAATAGAGTTAAGCCTAGACCCAATATATATAACAAGTGAAAATACAATACCTCCTGTCTTTGCATGAAATATGCAGGAGCTACTGTAATTCTACCAGCCCCAAATTCCCCTCCTTCAGCTGGAACCATATATCCATCATCTCTCCAACATTTGTTGATATCTTTAGGATCAACAGTTTTGAGAAGGGATTCTCTCAAGCCACCAGTGATGTGATTGAGATGCTCCTAATTAATTAATCAGCCCTGAAGGAAAATCCCCAACCAGAAACATACTATGTGAGAAGCTGTCAAAATATCAGGGAGATGAACTACCAAAAATTTTCCGTGCCTGTCCATGATGCACATCGGGGTGAACAATATTTAAAAGAGGTTTATATGTTGTACAAAATGTGAAGACAATATTTAATATTTAAACTAACATAAAGATGGGTGCACGACTTCAAATTTTGGTGGTGTTTTGTGTGTAATCCAAAATATCAAATATTCACAACCATATTCCCACAGACAATATGTCAACAAACATAAGAAATATAATCAGATTTTTCATGTCTGCTTCAACTTAAAGTTCAATTTCCATGTAAAACTTTGGAGAAAACTTGAAGTTTTACAGATGACATGACATTAAAACTCGATTTAAATGTCAAGCTTTGGCAAAACTTCAAGTTTTCTCCAAAGCTTTATGTAAGAATCAAACTTTAAATTGAAGCAGACATGGAAAATCTGATTATATTTCTTATATTTGTTGACATATTGTCTGTGGGAATATGGTTGTGAATATTTGATATTTTGGATGACACACAAAACACCACCAAAATTTGAAGTCGTGCACCCATCTTTATGTTAGTTTAAATATCAAATATTGTTTTCACATTTTGTACAACATATAAACCTCTTTTAAATATTGTTCACCCTGATGTGATGGTTGCTGGAACTGAAATTTTGCTGAGCACAGCCTCAGGGAAGAACTTCTTCAGTCTCCCCAGTTTAGCAGTTGCTGACCCATCCCTGCTGGGTTGTGACAAATTGACCTTGTCAGCATATCGGTCTACATCCCAATTGACATTGACTGTAATTCTCCATTAAATTTCATGTGCAACCCTAAATATTAACCTACTCACTAGGGTTGACCATGGCATGTGCAATGGTCAGGGCGGCCTGGTCAATTTCATATTCGGAAATTGAGGTACAATCAAAGTTCAAGGTATCACCAGGTGATGCCAAGCATTGCTATAGCTGTACTGCTATTCTCATCCTTGATTCCCTCGGTCATTAATAGCTGGCTGCAATGAATATAGAACCACAGTTACCTAGCTTTATGCAGCAATTCTGTTTGAACTTGGCCATCTTTTAGGACCCCTAGTTCAGATGAATTGCCCATTATCTCTCTGGTCCTCCTGTCAAGACTTGCCAAAACCTCAGTTGTCTGCCTTTTGACTTGGTTCATGAGTGAAAAAAAGTGAACCAAAGTTCTTGCGCTCCGGACTCATGTTGACTGAAATTAGTTGTGATGTAATTAGAACACATTATGTAATAGCCTAATACACCCTAATTAAATTTTAAATTGGACCACATATAGCTAGTCTCCTCTAGTAGAGTAAGTGTGAGGCTCGAACAATAGACAATCAAACTTGCTCTACTAGAGGAGACAGTAGACAATTAAACTTACTTTAATTGTGGTGTTGTCAGCGAGGCTGACTCAATTAACTAGGCTGGCTCTACTTCACTAAGAACACCATGGGGGCAGCCACCCTGTGCCATGAAAATGAAACGATTCACTTTCTTTCGCTTATAGATATATCATTGACCTCAACAGTCATGAAAATGATGTGCTCGCAACAGAAACAATTCACTTTCTTTTGCTCATAGATATAGAAGGTGAACTACATAGGCTCAACCAGCCTGTTTTTTTCTATATCTATAAGAGAGAGAAAGTGGATCGTTTCTGTTCCTTGTATATCATTGCCATGAAAATGATGTGCTTGCAACAGAAACAATTCACTTTCTTTCACTCATAGATATACAGTGGCTCAAAAAAGTGTCCCAATGTTTGTAGCTTTTTATGTAATTGCTATACCATGTGTCAAGACGTGGGAATATGACTAAGCTATATGGAGGTGTTGGAAAGGTCTGCTTCTCAGCTTTATTTCGGTTTCCTATACCATGGGAAAATAATGACATTATGTGAAGATATGATCATTTTAATTTGATGACTCATTGGGACACTTTTTTGACTTTGAGTTTCACTAATGTAATCCTTAAAATTCTAGTACTTTGTGTAACCTCCTTCTGCCCCAATCACTTCTTCCACTCTTCTAGACATATTCTCTATCAATTTTGGGTATTCCTCTTTGGTATTTCCATCATACTCTGCTGTAACACTGTCTCATAGTTGGAATAGCCCCTATGGTGAATCTTGATATGCTACAAGCAATTTCTTGAGTGATTCTCAGGGGTATTCAATAGGGTTGATGTCTTGGGTCTATGCTGAACATGATATTACTATTCTATCATGTTCAGCATAGACCCAAGACATCAACCCTATTGAATACCCCTGAGAATCACTCAAGAAATTGCTTGTAGCATATCAAGATTCACCATAGGGGCTATTCCAACTATGAGACAGTGTTACAGCAGAGTATGATGGAAATACCAAAGAGGAATACCCAAAATTGATAGAGAATATGTCTAGAAGAGTGGAAGAAGTGATTGGGGCAGAAGGAGGTTACACAAAGTACTAGAATTTTAAGGATTACATTAGTGAAACTCAAAGTCAAAAAAGTGTCCCAATGAGTCATCAAATTAAAATGATCATATCTTCACATAATGTCATTATTTTCCCATGGTATAGGAAACCGAAATAAAGCTGAGAAGCAGACCTTTCCAACACCTCCATATAGCTTAGTCATATTCCCACGTCTTGACACATGGTATAGCAATTACATAAAAAGCTACAAACATTGGGACACTTTTTTGAGCCACTGTAGAAGGTGAACTACATAGGCTGGACCAGCCTGTTGTTTTCTATATCTATAAGCAAGAGAAAGTGGATTGTTTCTGTTGTGAGTACATGGCAATGATGTGCTTGCAACAGAAACAATTCACTTTCTTTCACTCATAGATATAGAAGGTGGTGAACTATATAGGCTGGACCAGCCTGTTGTTTTCTATATCTATAAGTGAGAGAAAGTGGATCGTTTCTGTTTTGAGTACATGGCAATGATGTACTCACAACAGAAACAATTCACTTTCTTTTGCTATTAGATATAGAAGGTGAGCATCTGAAATGAGTGAGGCTCAAACAATATATAATCAAACTTACTCTACTGGAGAAGACTGGTTGTTAGACTGTGGTGTTCTCAGTGAGGCTGACGTGATCAGCTAGGCTGGCTCAACCTCACTGATGACACCATGGGCGCAGCTGCCCTGTCCCTTCACAAAAATAATATACTCACAACAAACAGATTGTATTCTTTCATTTGACACTAACTAACTAATCCCAACTGTACAAAAACAATTCACTTTCTTTCATTCATGGACATAGAAAGTGAGCATCTGAAGTGAGTGAGGCTCAAAAGGTAGACAATCAAACTTACTTTAATTGAGGTGCAGTCAGTGAGGCGCATGTCACCTTGCATTACTCTCACAATCACGTGACTTAATTTTTGGGCAAAAAGTTATGAGTCACATGTCCAGAATATGCCTATACAAGGGTGATACATTTAGTCTATGTCCTACACCAAGCAAAGTACAAGTCCGAGTCGAAAAAACTAAAATAGAAAAAACTAAGGTAAATGATGCAAGACAGGGATGGAGGGGCCCTCTCCATCCTAGCCTTGCACCCTACAGTAAATGAAGCAAAGTAAAAAAAGTAAACTAATAATGAGCCAACTGTAATGATAGTTAGTATGATGTTGAATATTAAAGTGACGCTTACTGAATTAAACATGTCAAAAAAAAATGGGAGGCGCATCAAGTGCAGACCAAAAACTATGGCAAAGATCAGTATCATCTTGAATCTTGAAAAGACACTTACCTCATCAAAACTGCTACCAGACAATGTGTGAGATAAAGCTAGAAAAAACACTGTTAGTACAAATCAGACTTGAAAACAAAACACAAAACAAGCTGGAAAATTCAATGGATCTGATAAAGCTAGAGAGTAGGTTAGTAGATTAGATTTTAACAGGAGAGACAGATATATGAAGGCACCAGTCCCTGGGGACATGGATGGCCAAAAAATATCCCCCAGAGCCCAAAGTTAGAGATGTCAGTCCCTGGGGACATGGATGGCCAAAAAATTATCCCCCAGAGCCCAAAGTGAGAGGCACCAGTCCCTGGGGACATGGATGGCCAAAAAATATCCCCCAGAGCCCAAAGTGAGAGGCGCCAGTCCCTGGGGACATAGATGGCCACAAAAATATCCCCTAGAGCCCAAAGTGAGAGGCACCAGTCCCTGGGGACATGGATGGCCAAGAATATATCTAAAAAAACTAAAGAAAAGTGAGCCGCTGGCAGAATGAGAAGACTCACCTTTAAGGCGCGCTATCAAATTTGATAGTGCGCCAGTTATTAACAAAACTGCAAATAAATATGAAAAAAATCAGTATTGTCAAGTGGATGTACAAAGAACTTACTTGTTATTAGTGGCCTTGATGACTACAGCGCTGCCTTTATCTGCAAGTAGCCAAAGGTCAGATGCAAGCAAGGTATGGTAGAGTAAAGGAGGATGAGTAGCGTTGCAATACATGGTTAAAGGTTGAAAGAAACGAACCGTGGGAGAAATGGAAATGGTTGATGTACCGTTTGTTGATTTGTTCTTGTTTGCCGGAATATCATGTGCACAATTGTGGTTGGTTTTTGTGCACAATTGTCTTTTGTGGACGTGTCTCTATTGTCAACGTGTCTCCTTCATCACTTGTAAGTTTTATTTCTTTTGTTTGTGACTATGTGACATACTGACTACTATTTCAGGCCAACGTTTGCTCAACGCGCATGTTTTGTGGACGCGTCTCTATTGTCAACATGTCTTTGTCACTTGTAAGTTTTATTTCTTTTGTTTGTGACTATGTGACATACTGACTACTATTTCAGGCCAACATTTGCTCAATGTGTGTTTATTATAAACACGTCTCTTTTGCTACTGGTGAGTTTTTGTTGTTTTTCTGTGGCACAGTGGCAAACTAACTACAATTTTAGTTCAATCTTTCGTCAACACGCATTTTGTGGATGCGCGTCTCTTTCATTTCTGGTGAGTTTTTGTTCTTTTCTGTGGCGCTGTCACATACTAACTACAAATTTAGTTCTATCTTTCGTCAACATGCATTTTGTGGACGCGCGTCTCTTGTCAACACGTCTCTTTAGTTTCTGGTGAGTTTTTGTTCTTTTTCTGTGGCGCTGTGGCAAACTAACTACAATTTTAGTTCAATCTTTCGTCAACACATGTCTTGTGGACGCGCGTCTCTTGTCAATGCTCTCTTTCGTTACTAGTGAGTTTTTATTGTTGTTGTGTGGTGCTGTAGCATACTGACTACAGTAATATAGCGGCATTTGTGTTTGCCTCGCACTACACTCCACTGCAAGCCTTTTTCACCAGAGTTTTTGGTGGATCCCATAGGTTTCACACAGGACTATGTATTGGTAGCAGTGATAAGTACAAAATATTGTAGATCTTTGTGTGATGTTTTATTTTGTTCTCAAATTTTCACAATTTTAGGTCCCAACATGCAATGTGTTGAGATCCAACTCCGAAACTGATATAATATATAACCTCTATGCACAATACTATTGTATTCCGCAAGTGAGAAAACAAGTGAGTGGATTGCCAGAGCAATGCCGGTTGAGGATGTCGCAAAAGTCTCTTATCAGCTCTGATAAGTGAGTATGATAGACTCTGTGATTGTTGATTATTAATATTTACGCTTCCATCTGTCACATCGATTAGTAATTTCGTAATGCACTTACCATTTTGAGTCGACGCAAATGACAGTGCACAGGTGATAAGGGCTTGATGTTCATCGTGCAACAACGACTTATCCGATGTGCTTTAAAATTTGGGATGACGAAGGTTATGTATAATTAAGTTCACTGCCCAACATGATTTTCGAACTGTTGTGTTGTTGTGTCGCAGGTGAGTGTATGAAATTTGCAAACACAAATGCCGCTATATTACTGTACAATTTTAGGTTCTCTATCATGGCGCGCACCAAAAACACTGCAAAGAAGTGCACTGGTGGCTCAGCGCCACACGTACACCTCAACATACTCAAGACCGCTGCCAAGAGCCTTTCTAGAGAGCCGGCTGGGGGCCAAAGTTTGGAGATGTCCAAACCGGTTCATCACAATGAGGTAAGTCTTTTGTTTCTTGCTGTATGTATGCTAGTGTACCTTCTTCTCCCAACAGTTGTGTATCCTCTGCCGGGATGGCTTTGCATCATTTAAAGAGAATACACTCTTTATGTGCAACCACTGCTCCAGAGTGATGTGCCACCTGTGCATGTGCCTCCCTCCAGGCACCAAAGACACGATCCTCAATGAGGATGTGTCTTTTAAGTGCATATGTTGTCACATCGCCCTGGAACAGCAGGGCGCACCGTACTATGTAAGTGTTTTGTTTTCATCATTTGTTCATTCACAACTAATACTATGACAGGGCTTCTATCACGCTAATGGTGTCCTGGTCCTCAAGTCTTTTCTACAGGTCCACACTTCCCTCGAGCTCTCATTGCGTGCTGAACTTTCAGTGGCACCAGTGATATTCATTCACCTCATCCTTGTCGACTTCGACACTACAGCCAGCCCTTTCTCCTTGGCTCATTCATTCCTTCAGCCCTACTTCACCAGCGGCGGCATCAAATATCGCGAGATCACCTACAACATTGTCTCTGACATGTCCAGTTATCGCAAAACTGTCCATCAAATCATCAAGGACCTCAAAAACTTGTTCGCATGAGAACATGTGGTGGTTGGTATATCCACTCACACTGACAATGATTCAGGTGATCCTTTTGCCGGGTACAGTTTGGATGGCAAGAAGCACTATGCTGGTGCCCCAACTGAAGATGTAAGTTTTTTGTTAAATTTTTCTGCCGCTGATTACTAACTAGAGACTTGAAGTTCTTGGAGGGTATCCTTAGTCCATGGCAATCTCTCCTGGACCATGCCGACGAAACCTACCTGTGGCTCTTGTGCTGCGGCGCAATTGTCAACAACAGTGACTCATTTACAGGATTGCAACGTGCAGTAGTTCAGTAAGTTCATTTAAATTGCATTTTTTATCTTATCTGACATTCCAACAGTCACAAGCTCTCTGCCACAGTCACATTCAACGCCGCACATTTTCAACCATCTTTTGCATCCCATTTGCTCCTGGCATTCACTGAAAAAGTCCTTGTGGAATGTTGCCCCATTGGCCTCGCATTTGGTGACATGCTGGTGCAAGCTTACAAACTCGGTCGCCACACTGACGTCTTCTTACTGACACCACTTGTGGGTAGTCTGAAGGTCTCCAAGTTTGTATGGGCTGATGTCAAGTTCTGGCCTTGGGGTGGCTTCCTGCCAATCCAATGCCCAAGCTGTGGGTGGACTGATTGTTGGAGGTCAGTCTTTGTGAGGGCTTGCAAGGATAAGGTCTATGTCTTTGAGTGAGTGCAAGAATGACACCTGCACCCAGTCTTTCACCTTCAGCCCTCCTGAAGGGGCCACCATGTTGACATCAGGTAGGAAGCAAGGGTGTTCATGGATGCATGTACCTTTGAAGCCATTGTTGACTTGATTATGTACATTTCTTACTTTGGTTACTCAAATTTGGTCACTTCATATATGTCTTAGCTTTACACAATAATGTTTGGTTGTTTGTGAATGAAACTTTGGTAGATGCACTTTGTGGATTTTAAATATAGTGAAAATTGTCAACATAAATGTCACATGACCGTGTTTGTCACATGACCTTGTTTGTAATGTTGAATTTTTCAACAATGAAGTCTTGTCCAACAGTACATCTGCAAACTTGTACCAGCCTGCATCCCTGTGATTCTTATTTGTCAGATATAATGGCCAGCTGGATTCTTGTTTTTAGCAATGTGTTGAATGAACACAAAGATTCCTTTGTAGCAGCTAAAGGAAATTCTGGCATCAGGGCTCGCATCCTCAAGACAATCAAAGATGCTATAGGTAACAGTGAAGCAGCCAAAGACCCTTGTGTCATGCTTCCTGAGAAAAATCTGCACAAGGTGAGCTTTTATAATTGTGTTCTATACTAATCTAATCAATACAGGCTGTTCATGCCTATTATTTGGACTTCCTGGAAGATGATGAGGATCGCAAGGCAGAGGAAGAGATTATTGAGGGAGGAACTAAGGACACATCTGCTCCAGATGCTGTTACTATAGAGATGGTGAGACAGAGGGAAGATGATAAGCCTGAGGATGCTGGGAAGTACAAGACAGAATTCTCTGGTTTTGATGTTGTCCAAAAATTATTTAAGGATGAATTTGCAGAATATGACAAGCAGCACAGAGATACCTCCAACCCAAAGTATATGGGTCAGGGGACAAGATTGGCCCACATGTGGCACCAGGCCATGTCCCCTGAGGTGAAGAAGGAGCTTGAGTGAGTTGCAGGAAAATGGAACCAGGAAGGACCTCCTGCAGATACCAAGGACAGGTATTTTTTTCCCAAGATTCTATTGGCATACATGCTATATAACTCAACAATACATCAATAGATACCATACCCGTAACCAGAAAAAAATAATGGAGGACTTTATGGACATGGTCCGGAGAACCATGAGATTGCATGTCGTCATCCTTATAGCCTATGACCGAGGTGAGGGAAAGGCTCCTGGAACTACTGTGTAAGTGTTTTTGATGCTTCATATTGTTAATAATGACTAACTTGTTTCTAAAGCTGGGAGACTTCGCCATAAAAGGCCAAAAAACCTTTTACTCAGGCGACCAAAGACAATCGGAAATGGGCAGAACATGCTCAAGATCATCTTGCCAACTGGCTTCTCGAAGGAGAATATGGTAAATGTCTTTTTTAATTTTTTAATTTAATATGGTAGCTAAAAGTCTGTCAGCTGATGGAGAGGTTAGTGATGAAGAGGACGACAATGAAAATAATCTCCCAGATCTCACTGTTGAGGTCGATGATGATGGTTATCCTTGCCTACCCACAGGCTTTGTATGTCTCAAGCTCAAGCACAGGCAACAGCTTGTTCGGGCTGTCTTTCAAAAGGCCTACAGTGAGTTGATTTGTCTTATGTGATTGTATCATTTACTCACTTTCCCCAGCTGTTATTACCAACAATCCCAGGGCTCTGGTGCCCTGGAGTGAGATGTCGACTGATCCCACTCACTACCTTGATTCAGGATGCATTCCTGAGAATGTTGTCATCAGGGATCCTTCCCACCTGCAAAAGGACACGATCACTGCAATATACTCCCACTGGAAAGACCGTGCTAGTCATGACATGCCGATTGTACGTTTTATTAGATATAGGCAAGCTGATTTCTATGATGCTCGCACTAAGAAAGGAGCTGCAAAGGGCAAGTCAAGGGTGAAGCCTGCCTATGTTGAAGTCTCTTCAGATGAGGAAGGACTCTTGAACAAGGTCACCAATGGTAAAAGCTCTTCAGATGAAGATGACGTCGAGGTGGAGACTCCGACCATTCCTGAGTCCAGCCCCAAATACCATCTTGCTAGGGACATGGTCCCTTACCTCAGGTCTCTCTCTACTGTCCCTTCATATCATCGTCTTCTTACTGTGGTTCAGAAGCTTCTGGTATGTCAGATCTCTTAACCTCATGATTTTATATTGATTTTGTCTTTTTTAAAGCAAAGAACAGATTCAAAGTCAAGGAAACAGCATCTTCCTGTCTGGGCTTCTTGGACATGGTCTCAGGCATATCTGCCTCAAGACATCCATGAGGATATGAAAATTGCCTCAGTCACCCTGGAGCATTTGAGTAACTACCAGTTTGATTCTCGTGGATGGGGCATGGTTGTGGCCCTGGGACTTGGACTTCTACTTCGTGAGTGTCGTCGTGCTCAGGAGCATGAAGCTGACGAAGCTGGAGATGATGTACCTGACTACTTGTGTAACTCTATCTTGGGCATCCAGATGGGCAACAAGATTGAGGAAAAGGTTGTAGAGATAGGGGCAGAAGTAGAAGCCATGCTGAAAGATGAGAGCCTGGGGTTGTCTGTTGTGAGGAAAGACATTGAGAAGAGGCGTTCAGAGGAGAAAAGGAAGTTGAAGGAGAAAAGGAGAGTCGAGGAGGAGAAGAGGGCTGAGGAGGAGAAGAGGGCTGAGGAGGAGAAGAGGGTCGAGGAAGAAGAAAGATTGGCCAAGGAAGCAAGCAAGGTGGACAAGAGGGTGAAGAAATCTAATGCTAAAGGAAAGGGTAAGAGGCCTGCTGCAGATGTGAAGGAACCAACCAAGAAAAAGGTGAAAGCTTCCCCTCCTGATCCACCTCATCGTTCTGCCAGAGACAAAGCACCTCCAAAGAAGTACAATGTCTGAAATATTTGATATATCATTCTATACATCTTGTATCACAATGGCTTAGAGTTGATTAAATGTTTTGTATATCTGTGCTTGAGACTTAAAGAAATATTCAATATGGCACTGGCCATACATGTTTGAATATAGGTCATTACTCATGCAGCCGGCCCATTTGCACGTACTGCACAGCCAGGCCGGCCTTCATTGGTATGGGTCACTATAGGTGCGGCCAGCCCTCTTTTCACACTGTAGAAGGAGGCCGGCCCACAGGAGTATTGGTCATAACCTATGCAACTGGCCCATTTGCACAGAACAAAATATAGGGCCGGCCGGTATTGACCTTTGGGGCAGCTGTTCCCCTTCATATATGCTAGGGGCAGACTGCCAGAATGTTGGGTTCTTCACAATTAACTGTACACTATCAATGGCTATAACTTGATGTAGATTATGCATGACCTGGCCTTCATAGTGTACAGTGAATTTTGAATAGCCCAAGATTAATGTCCTAGCCACTATATATATTTTACAATATTCACAGATTCACCATCACAGTGATATGCAGGGTGAGGATGGCTCATCACCTCTACATGCATGTGTTACAGTTTTGTGGGTCACAACTGTACTACTAGTGTATTGCACAGATTTTGTAGGTTTTATATTATTTTTTTCATTAGCCTTTATCATCAGTATTCAAGTTGGATCAAAGGTAATAACCTCATCCCAATCCTTTGATCCAACTTGAATACTGATGATGTTTGGATAGTTTAGTTACTGATCCAAAATTGTTTACACTGCACTGTATTTTAGATATTACCATTTTTTTATACTGGAGGATGGAGGTCTTCAAGTGCCTTCAAAACCATACTAATCCAAGAGCTACCATTAGCTCCTACAGTGTTTGGCCTATCTGTCATTTATACTAGAGACACTGACCTGTCCAGGTACTGCAGGTATATAGAGACACCAGCCTGTCCAGGTCCTGCAGATACATCATTTATACTAGAGACATTGGCCTGTCCAGGTACTGCAGGTATGTAGAGACACCGGCCTGTCCAGGTCCTGCAGATACATCATTTATACTAGAGACACTGGTCTGTCCAGGTCCTGCAGATATATCATTTATACTAGAGTCATTAGCCTATCCATATTTCACATAGTCAGCCGATCCTGGATATACGTACACTGGCCAGTGTCTGGTAGGCCAGGTTTTGCAGGCCAATGTACACATCCTATGACAGGGTTTTACAGTATCATATGACTGAAAGGTGTGGCTATGTAGCGCATCCGAGCGTGGTACTGAACTGGGTAACTATATCAATACTAAATATATTCTAAAACCTAAGATAAGCATTCTGTAAGTGTGGAAATCAGGCTGAGGACACATCAATCCAATGAGATTAATAGGAACAACATTCTCACTCTATTACATAGTGAGGCACAAGTGAAGTGTTAGAGTTTTGTCTTTGGGCAAGCCTGTTACAAGTAACATTGGCTACTTGGCCCCCTATCATTTTTCCCTTCATCCTCATCCTCTCCTGCCTCCGGCTCGTACTCCTCTACTAATTATCCATTGACCAGATCCGCGGGATCGTTCCCATCCCTCGTCCTCCTCCTATCACATCAACGTGTGCATATGCCTTCGGGCTCTGACTCGTCTTGACTCGTGCCACAAATGTGGCTTTCCTTATCTGCTCTTATCTCTTATCTGACTCATGCGTGCTGCGCATTGTATCTCTTACCATTGGTTCGTTCCAATGTTTCTTGGTCTCATTCCGCATTCGACCTCCCATCACTAATTAGGCTATGCTGCCATCGTACCTATACCCTTTCTGTTTCCCCTTTGCCCTTACCTACAGTACGGTAGCCTTGCCCTTAACCCTTTCCACTTAGTATAAGTAGTTGGTCACCTTGTACTAGATTCCCTAACTTGAATCTACTCAATCTTCCCTTGAACATACTTCCCTCTGAAGCCCCCTCAGCTTCAGTCTCTAGTATCTTTTCTTAGGTGCTCATTGTGCCTAAGTCTACCTCGATCGACTACTCATCGTTCGGACAAGACAGTCCTTACTTTGAGAATGTCAGTGACTTTAAAGACATCCATCTTAGAAGTCACGTGACATGCGCGTCTCTGATATCTGCCGACTCGATGTTGCCAGTCTCAGTTGCTACACCGGACCTTTCCGGTTATGTCACGAATGTTAGCGGATGATGCCCCTCTTAGGGCTCCGTCTAACAGATCTATTTGAGTGCATAACAAAGCTGAAAACACCGGCATCTCTTGTTTCTGCTCCTCCTCTAGTAGAATCCTTGATGCTTACCTCATCAAGCTATTTGCTTTTCTCCTACACATATCCTAATACTTCCACACCTTTACAAAGCACCTAATACCATCCATTCTTTCAGATTTCATCCCTGCCATCCACTCCAAAATGGCATGTATTGCATCCAACCCTACATTTGACATTGAGCCCGACTTCACATCTGCCACCTTCGAAGGGTTAAGAAATTGCATCATCAGAAACTCGCAGACAACACACACTGAAGCAGCCAACAGACTCACAGTGGGATGGCAGCAAGACTGCGATGTTCGTGTTGCCGCTTGGAACCAGCAAGCCACTGAAGATGCTAGACTCACCACGGAACAAGCCCAAACCATGCAAAAACTGCTGGAGCAAGAGGAATGGACACATGAGCATGAAGCAGAGATCATCGTCGTGTGCCTTACCAGGCTTGACCAAGCACCTGGTCCAGTGTTTCCCTCCATATTATACACTTAGAGGAGCCTTCTCAGTAGCAATCCCCTTGGGCCGACATATATCTCGCTCATCGAGGACTACTTGAGTTATCTCATACCACTCATATTACCCCACTTCCAATTCCTCTTCTACAGCGCTGAACCCTTTGGTGAATGTGTGCTACTTCTTTACGCTGCTCGTGTACACCGAGATTGGCATGACACGCTGACCCTTGACAACGCATTCGACATCAGCATCTTCAACCCTATGCTCCTCAAGAATATGGCAGAAGAAGTGTGGAACAAGTTGTATCTGGAAAGCTTGAATGAGGTTCGTCACTTTCACTTGAATATCATTACAATTCAAACTAATTCAAACTTCTCCCTCACTCATCACGCTACCACACATGCTTCCATTCACGCTCCCACTTCCACTACTGCTTCCACTATGCTGCTGCTACCAACAATCATGAAACCTTGCTTCCGCTTCCCCCCCCCTCCCTACAAACGCTGGTATCCAACCAGATGTAGTAAGCTATGACTGCATGGCAGCCTGCTCACGAACCCCAAACATCCTCCCACCGCAACCAGCACAAGAGCCAGCCCTGAACTACTCATTCTCACTCTCACTCCCCCGCTCGAAACCCATCAGGTCAGCTACCACCTCATCCCATGTCTCCAAGCCATCAACAAGCCAAGTATGAGCGCAAACGCTCCACTTGCGATAGGCAGCCTTTTCAGAGCAGCGCAGCATCAACGGGCCTACATGCCTGCGCTCTGTGCCTCAGCCGCTTCGCCCACAATGTGCACAAATGCAAGAGCGAGTTCCTCTGGGACAGCAAGACTCTGACACACTGTTGCAGGAGCACAGAAGGTCACCTCGTCAATTCTCAGGGTCTCCAGTTGTGTTACAACTGGCAGAGACCCAATGGCTGCACAAGCAGCAGCAAGGATCACATTCATGAGTGCTCCGGCTGTGGAAACCTGGATCACGGAGCTCAAGGCTGTCCTCGAGGCCAGGAAGCTTAAAGCCCTCACCCCCTATCATGCTGATGCATGGCAATTCTTACTTCATAAATCTGGACTTATACGTACATATTCACATGTTCCGCAGTCACTACAATACGGCTTTCATGGTAGCATTCCCCCCATCACGACCATGTACAGCCCACCTAATAATCCCTCCATTTCTCAACACACTGATGCCTTCAGATTAATTCTCTCTCAAGAGTTCACTGCTGGCAGATATTTGGGCCCTCTCTCGCAGGAAGAGGTGGAAACCCTCATCAGACTGTTTCAGACAGCACTGTAGGGATTCATTTCTGGCTGGGCTGGTAGAGACTGTTTTTACCTTACCTTATGTTGGCACTTTTGTAGCTTACATAAGCAAGTTATCCTTTCACCAGTATCAGTATGAGTCTGAGTGCTCAGCAGTTTTCTATCATATTTCCTCTTCTCTGAGCCTTGAGCCTGGTCCAGAAACCCTTTAGGGTCGAATAGCAGCTAGGTTCTGCAAGACCCAACATTGTTCAGACTCACCATCAGAATTGTTGTACCTTCAGCACCACTTTCAATTATCACTAAGCCAGGTAAACCTGGAAAGTTTTGTCTTATTCAGAACCTATCACATAGTCTTTCATCTCTATCACACTCTGTTCCATCCATTAACTCTTTTATTGATTCTAACATCTACCCATGCACATACAGCACCTTTTCTACTATATGTTTACTTATCTGGCGCCTCCCTCCAGGTTCTCAAGGAGCGACATGTGACGTTGCAGAGGCATATAGGACCATTCCCCTCCACCCTTCCCAGTATGCAGGACTTGTCGTTTGTTTGGATGACGAGTCCTTTGCTATCAATCCCAGTTTCTGCTTTGGATGTTCCTTGGCAGCTGGATCTTACAGTGGCCTTGCTGACACTGGAGCTGACATCTTCTGCAGCGAAGGAATTGGACCTCTGTCCAAGTGGGTCGACGACCACCTTTTCTTCTGGATCCTACTCGAGCACCTTGAAGAATACAACAAGCAATGGAAACTCTGGGCCCAGAGCATCCAGAACGAAGGAGGGCTCCACATCGAAGGCGGACATAAATGGTACAGAGGTTGCATGGCTGCCAATGGCCAGCCAGAAGAGTACAATGAGGATTGCATCTTCCCCATCCTTGACCTCTCCCAGAGGAGTCCTCGCTCTGCAGAAGACGCGAGGTTCTCTTACTGTATGGACAACATCGATGCGCTTTCGTGCCAAACAGGTACTCCCTGGGAGGTGTCCAAGGACATA